TTATTCTGGAAAGCCCTAGAAGGGGCTGAAAAAGAATACCAAAGAAAACTGCACAGTAATGGGGACACACTGGCTTGGAGAGGTGGAAGAACCTTACTAATTAAAGAAATATGTTCCTTCCCAGTGTGAGTTTAGGTGATACTCTCCACTCCTCAACCCCATTCCTCATTCTCAATTCTTCGTGTCCTTGAGAGAGGTACATGGGCTATTCTAACAGGTTCCAGAATTAAGGTAAGTAGATGTGCCCACAGTACACACAGAAGGGGCTATCGCCAAGAACCCATCTCTACCTTGGCTACTGATGTTTCAAAGCCAGGATTCTCCTGCTCTCCAAATTCTGAACCCTTTTCTGGGGACTAGGAGTCAGTGGCCCTACCTGACCTTGCTGTATCTGCTGAGTAAGTTTATACATCTCATCACACAATTTGGGGAAAGGTAAATGGGGCTGAGAGCAGGACCAGCTTGTCCAATGGGCACAGTGCAGAGGACCTACAATATTTTTGAGGGATCCATGAATTCATTTACAGTCAAAAGAGAAAATTTTTAGGTAGAGGAAAAGGTTTTAATCTATACAAGTAATGTAATAGTCTTTGTAGCATTTAAGTTTTAAGATAACATTTTAAAAAAATTCTTTTTTGGTTGAAGGAGAACCCCACACAGAGAAGCACTTATGCCAAGGAAAGTCAAACCTTGGGGTTACTGAAAGGGGGCCTTCTTGCTGGAGTGGATGGGTTTTCTCATGAAAAGAGTACATCAGTAAAGTGCAAATCTGTTGGCCAAGGAACCAGAGAGGAAGGAGAAGCAGAGAAGCTCTCCTTTGCAACCATTTTCCTTTTATTTCATCTTCAATCCATACCTAATCTTAAATCCTTTCTAGAGTACAATGGGACAAGGAAGCAAATAATGCATTGTTACTGTGACAAGGAAGCAGAGATGCATGTTGGAAGGATTCCATCAGACTGGTCAAGCAGCTTAACATAACACGCTTCATAGGAATTTTTCTTTCTCTGGATAGTTCAATAATGTATTTCACAATTTTTAAAAAGACTGTTCCTGTTACAGATTAAAGAAATTAAAGAGGCATGACAATTGAATGCAATGTGTTATCCTGACCTAACTAAATTCTGGACCAAAAAATATTAAAAATTATTTACTTTTTGCTTTCCAAGATATTTTAAGACAACTGATAAAATTTAGCTATGGACTGTAATTATTAGTCATTAGTATTTTATCCATGTTAAATCTGATTTATATAACTGCACTGTGGTTTTATAAAGGAATGGAAAAATATTCATGAGGTGGGGGTTGAGACAGGGTCTTGCTATGTAGTCCAGGCTGGCTTTAAACTTGCAATGATCCTTCTGTCTCAGCTTCCCAAGTGCTGGCATTGCAGGTGTGTACCACCAAACCCGGTTGATATTTTTGTTCTAAGCAATTCACACTAACATATTTGGCAGTGAAAAAGCATGATGTCTACCACTTCTTTGTAAATAGAACAGAGAAAATGCACACATATAAAGAGAAAATAAGGTAAATACAGCAATATGTTACCTGTTGAATCTTGGTGAAATGTTTGAGGGTGTTCTTTGAGCTACTCTTACAACCTTTCTGTAAATGTGATTTATTTCAAAATAAGTGAAAGAGATGAAATTGTTAAATTAATCTAGTCGTACTGTTGAAATAAAGCCCAAGGGTGATGAATAGAATTGATGCACTAACTCTACAGACATTCAACTGTCTAACCTGTGTCTTGGGAGTTAATTTTATTTTTTTATTTTTTAATTTTTTTTATTACTGGGAGTCGAACTTGGGTCCTTGCTCTTCCACCTCAGGCGGTGAAACCACTGAGCTAAATCCCTGGCCCAGGAGTTAATTTTATATTAGTCAGAACCAGGGATATTCAGGTCAACATGTTGGGTTTTGTAGGTTATTATTGTTTACAGGATTTTCCTAATTTAAAAATAATAAAATTTAAGTTATAGACAGCACCGAATACCCAAAAAAGTTATTTTTTTAAAACAACTGACTGGCAGAAAGTTAGGCAAATCTTTGAGTTGTGCCTTTCTTCGTTGATAAAATTCAGATACTAAGTGCTTGGACTTCATTCTATGAAGTTATGAAATATGTCTCCTCCTCCCTCCAAGTAAGTGCAAATAGTTTATTTTGGGAAGGGATTGCAAGGAAAAGGAGACAGGACCTGGGAAGAATGAAATAGGGAAGGGTGAAAGGCAACCCAAGGGTATAGCACAAAGCTCATATCCCTGTAGTATGTGGTAGTTGACTGTACCGAGAACCTTTGGTGAAGCCCTAGAACACTACAGAATTGCCTGCCCAATGGACGGAAGAGGGAGTGTTAATTTAGGAGGTCCTACCTCTGGCCAAGGGTTGACCCATGAGGTGTTAACTCCCTCGCACTTGGAGGCTTGCTCCTATGTCAAATGGCTGAGTGGATTTGAGCTGCAGCAGCAGAGAAACCCTGGGACAGAGTGGGAGACACAAGGTGCAGGTGCAGGGTGAGGCGCTATCAGATTTCACTGTGTGCCTGTGATTGCCATAGCAGTGATCGGAGTTAAAAGTTGGACAGGAGAATGTGAAGGGCAACACAAAGTGTATCAGTGGTTAGCAGCATTACAAGCCAACACATGCATATCAAGTCATTTGAAGGATAACATACAGCAAAATTGTATTTATTACATAATTTTGTGAATAAACAAATTAATTGGAAAAATGTCAAAGAGCAAAAAGTGTCCCTCTAGACTGTATAGATAATTAAAATGAATAAGAAACACAAAGAATAGAAATGGAAGGCATAGACCAGGACGATGTATCCACAGGAATTAGTCATTTGCCAGTGGTGGCTTGACAAACCATCAGAGACAGCTGAACTGCTTAATTGATGCTAAGGAAAACTGGCTCAGCATATGGAGATAAAGTTGTATCCTTACCTCACATCAGATATGTACATATGTTTGTATGTGTAAAATCATAAAGGACAGAAAATACTTCATGTGAAAAATAAATATCCAAAGTTAATACAAGAAAATGTCACATAATATCTTTGTCTTTATAAAGTTAGGGCAGGGAAATTTTCTTTTAACAAGACCCCATCAGAACAAAGACTAGGGTTTTAAAAGTTGCTGGATTTGACTACATTAGAATTAAGATTTGGGTTAGATAAAACATCTCATCGTCGTTACCTATCTACAGTACTGACATTGGAATATAGCAGTGTGAGGAGAAGGGGGGAAGTGAGTCCCTGGGACTCAAGAAGGATCTAAGGCGAGAATTGAAGTCTACAGGAAGAGTGAAGAGAGAGACTTTAATGAAGAGGAGGGAGGTACCAAGCAGTGCTCTTTCCCAGAGCCCAGACTCTCAGTGAGGGAACAGCAGACCGAACCTGCAGACACATGGTGACTGCTGGCAACCCCATAGGCCTCCACAGAGAAATTCACCAGTGGAGCGGAGCAGTGGACACACCAGATTGCAGCAGCTGTTCTATGCTGAACGGAATTGGAGTCTTAGTGGAGATTACAATGAATCCCTACATCACATTAGATCTTACAGGAAGTGCTTTCAGCTTTTCTCCATTCAGCTACCATGGTTTCGACTCACCTTCAAAACGTGGTTGCAGAAGAATGTTTACTAGCAAGACACAACAGAAGTTATAAACGAAACTCTTAGCAAAAGCTCTGGGAATTGGCCATACCACAACCTGAAAAGGCAACAAATACTTAAGAGGACTTGATCACTTTTTAACTAATCTTCATCCTAAACCAGTTCTCTTTTTAATCAAATTTTAGGCTGTGCAAAACTGAGTTGCTCTACCCCAAGAAAAATCAATTTGTGTATTCACTAATACATTTAATGTATCATTTCACTCTGTACAAGTTTCTTCTTGACATGGATATCAAAAAGAACCTTTAACAAACTTCACCTTTTTAAATGACCAACTACATACACATAATAAGTCCTTGTAAACCTTTCAGGTAGCAAAAACAGATCTTTGTTCTATGGCTGAAATCTCCTGCTTCACAGGAGTACTGATAATTTTAACTCTCAAGGAACAAGCTGCTTGCTGTCCCTAATTTTATTAGATTTAAAATAAAATATATATGGCAATAATCTAAAAAGTACAAAAATCTCACTTGCTTCCATCAATTCTTAGGTGTCTGAAATGTATACTTTCAAACAGAAAGATGTTTTTCTTTTAACAAAAGAAAAATCTCAGCTCATGTGTGGTAGACTATTAATTCAAGAGTATTAGTGAAGAGTTAAATCTTGCCAAATAGGAAGTAATATTAAGCTCTTCTGCAACGAAACTTTCAAAATATTGCCAACCTGAAGTTTTCAGCAGAAGACGTTGGATTTCAAGTCCTGTTGCGGGGGCGGGGAGTGACCTAGATTAAGGATATTCTTAACCTGGACACAAGTTGGCACTGTTTCAGATGAATGAGTAAACATTCTCTTGATCACTCCAACGAAGAGTTGGAGGCTTAGGGTTTTGGATGATGTAAATAATGTGAAATTAAAAGTTTTGATAATATGTACAGCACTATAAAGCTAGAAAATAAAAACCATTAATGAATTCCCTAAAAAACCAAAAAACAAAAACATCTCATCATCAAAATTAACAGGTCCTAGACTGGGAATAGATGTTTGCAATATCGAAAAAAAAAAAAGGATAAATTTTTTCCAAATCACAAAGTTGAAAAACAGTTTTAGAAATTCTCAACCAGATGTAAATGGGCAAACAATACAATAGGAAACTCCAAAACTATCATATATCTGAAGAGGTGCTTACCCACACTAGCAAGCAGAAAATACAAACTGAACAAAGTTAACAGTTTGATCCTAATTACTTTACCCACGTAGAACTGCAAAAACTAGAAAGTTGCAGGGTAAGGCCTAGTGAAAATAAAAAGGGGAAGTCTGGCCCCGCCCCGCCCCGCCCCGCCCCGCCCCGCCCCGCGTCACGTGCTCTAGTCCCCTCCGCACCCACAACTTGGAGACGCTCTTCCCACGCCTGCTTCGCGAGGCTGGATGCCCATCGCCTCGGGGTCACGGCGTCGTCATCTGTTTGCCAAGGAAAATACCCTAGTCTTGACTTTGTAGCTTTAGAGACCCCTCTGGGTTGCTTGGGAACATGAGTGGACGCGCCCGTGTGAGGGCACGAGGCATGGCCCGCAGCCCTGACTCCCTGTCGGTGCAGTGCACCCAGACCTCGCCCTCGGGAATGGTAAGCTGGCTGTGTTTAATTTTCTCTTCCTTCTGCCCCCATCCCAGACAGGGCCTTCCTCTGTGTCTCCTCTCTGTTAAAGCTATTTCTCTCAACTTTGACTCTTTCTGAGGTTTCTCACATTTTTGTCTTTCAAGGGATCTTATCTTGAATTGAGGTGAGTATATTGGCCAGTGAAAAGAATTGAAGATTGATGGCTAGTGTGTCATTGCCTTCCACTTCCTGAGTTGTAATTACTTGATTTGGTTTTAAATTGCCTGGGAAAAAATTGATGTACTTTCATACCATCACATGGCATGTAATCTACTATGATTGGTCTTGCTAAGTGGTGTAGGCAATTGAGTAGTCTCCAACATTACTGGTTGTGATTTGGATTCAGTCATTGTTGCTTGAGCAGCCACTATGAGTAGGGCTCCTTGCTGGGCTTAGGCAACTGGTGAATTGACTGACAAATAAGCAACTTTTGGTTTGTGTTACAAATATATACTCTGTATTTGCAGCCAGATTTTAGACTTGGAACAAGTACTCAGTTAAGTAGTCTGTGGTCATTATGCCCTCATTTTCAAGAAGTGGTCTTCTCTTGACTTCACTTTTTAGCAGGCCACTATATTGTAACTTCTTGAACAAAGAGAATTCCTTTCTGTGAAAGCAGACATATTAATAGTTCTCTTCCCACCTAATTTGTGGGCTAATTTTGGTCCAGTTTATTCAGGAGAGTCATCCTTCTGGGCTGGTGTCCCCTATCCTCTGGGCTCAATTGATTTTCATACCCATGGGCCATGAAGGAATAAAATCCATGCACATCTGTGCTACATTTCCTCTGATGAGAATCTCATTTTTGCTTCTTCATATTTACTAAAAGCAGTTGGATGAGTGTGGAAAATTATAGCCCATCCTTATCCTTTTGTCTAGAATGGACATCTCTTTTCTGTCCAGCCTTTTACCTTACTCTTTCTTTTCCTAGATCATGCTAATCTAATGACTTGCAATATTGTTTTTTGTTTTTTTTTTGTACCGGGGATCAAACTCGGGTCCTTGTGCTTGTGAGACAGGCGGCGAAACCACTGAGCTAAATCCCCGGTGACTTGCAATATTGGTTCTTAGCTTGTTGATAACCGTTTGATTTGTGACTTATCTTAAATCTCATTTGTCTCATTTTAGCTCACACCAGTTGATCTTAGTGACAGTGAAGCATCCTTTAGCGGTGATGTGGAGGGAACAAGCAGGATTTCACAGCCTTGTAAGTGCAACTTAGTCTGTCCCCCTGAGTTCCAGTCAACCTGTCTGGGGCAGGCGTGGTACCACCAAGCCTGACAGCACCAGGCTGGTGTCCTGAGCATCCCAATCTCCTCTTCTTGAGGGATCCCCCTTGTGGTGTTCCTTTGGGACTCCTAACACACAGGCAGCTGCTGGGTTTTCTGATGGTGCTTGGGAAGTGGGAATCCACAGGTACAGAGAAGACAGTTTTCTGATTGTTTCTGTTCACTGAAGAATTTTGAAAAAATATTCCAGAAACCTATGTGGTATGCAAGTGTCATTGCTATCACTTCAGGGATGGTAGAAACTTGGTACAAAGGCTGAAGCTCTCTTCTTCCCTCCCCACCTGGGGTAGACACCACTGTGTGATCATATAGCTCTCTTCCCTGTGAAGACTCACGTATCTCAGGCTACTTATCTGTGTGCTGCTTGAGTAGCCTCTGCCACGCAGTATGAACTGCCATATCTGATGGAATAGTAGTTTGCTTGGGTTGCCTTTACCAAGTAGCACAGACAAGGTGGCTTAAACAGCAGGAATTTATTTTCTCATAATTCTGGAGGTCTGAGATCAAGGGGTTGCCAGGGTTAGTTCCTCCTGAGGCCTCTTTCATTGGCTTGTAGATGTCTACCTTCTCCCTGGACTCAAGATGTTTCCTTTGTGCATTCTGCGTCCTAATTTCTTACCTTATGAAACCAGTCATATCTGCTGAGGGGCTGCCTCGGTGACATCACTTTAACCTAGTTATGCTGTAAAGACACAGCTATAAATATAATTACATTGTGAAGAGTGGGAAATAGGACTTCAACTTTCGGTCTTTCTAGGTGGGGGCATACTTCAGTCCATAACCCTGAGTGAAATCTGTTAGTTCTCTCCCTTGTGCTGATCATGAAATATAGTGATTGTTTCTAAAAAATGTGTAATCTCTTAGAATTTAGATTCTCTCCAGGTCGGAGAGCCTGGTACTCACAGCCATCTTGTGTGTGACTCTGCTGTTGCTCATTGAGGGGTTTCCAGCCCTACTTACATACTCTCTATATGATGAACTCACATTGCTGAATGTGTGCATGAGCTCGGACCTGTTCAGAAAGGCAGCCCAGGACCAGCACAACACCACCATTCAAACATTATCCCAACTCTGGGCATGCCTTTCCACATCTACTGTCATCTACTGAATAGCAAGTAATGGACACCCCTTATCCTGTGACAACAGATTAAATTTTTGTTTATTGCTTTAAATTATGGCAAAATGTGTATAAAAAAACTTTTAAAATGTACAATCTGGGGATGCATTTATATTGCTGTAAGTAATCACCACCATCTCTAGAACTGTTTTCATCTTGGAAAACTGAAACTCTGCACTCATTACACAATTAGCCCCTATTCCCCTGTATCCCAGCTCCAGACAGCCAACATTCTATGGTAACTTGAAGTTTTAGAAACTGTCTGGTATCTTTGAAACCAAGAGCAGTGAATGATGTGGACAATCTAGTGAGGGTAATAAAATTTTAAAAAATTAAATGAACTTTGTGATTCTCCTGAGAGACTCAGGCTCCTCTGGGAAGGGTATGGGAAGAAGTTTGGAGCTGGTGGCAGTGCCATTTGGGGGAACTGCAGACAGTAAGTTTATCACAGGATGGGTCAAGTCAGAGTGCCAGAGAGCCAACATACTGTTATTTATATTACTTGCAGCGATATCCTTCATTTTGACTTTTTAAAATTATCTATGGGGACAGGAAGGAGATGTAAAAAGAATTAAAGATGGGTAATGTACTAACTCCCCATGAAGAGTACAATCATACATACTGCAAACATGGACTGATAAAAATAAAAATTAAAAAAGAAAATTATCACTAGATGAAAATAAACAATTGTCATCAAACTGCCAAAAGCATATCCAAAAGCCTGTATCTCTTGTACTTATTTAAACAGAAGACATCCTTTGGAAACAAATCCTAATTTCATATTTTCTAGAAGCTAACAATGATGGGCTTCAAGGTAAAACCCTGGCTTTCATGCTCCTGGGGAACAATCTAGCATAAAAAGTGACTGCGGTGACCTGAGCTGTTCCTCTTCTGTCTGTTGGGAAAAGTGAGGGATTCAGCTCCTCTGTACAGAAATTGGTGTGGACATTCCTCGCCTGAGGCTTTCAGGGTGTTGCCCAAGAACTAAATGAGAGAGAGCAGCCCTCTATAAATAGGAGTGGAGTGGAATGCAGGGAGATGGAGCTTTCTCCTGAGCCAAGAAGAGAAACTTTGCAATATTATTAGTGCTAGGAGTACCTCAGGGTCTCTTTCTTAATGAAATAGTCCATGTTTTATTCACATTTTTCAATTTTTAGGCTAAAGACTTCTGTGTAATCATGAATGAATGTTTTCACCAACACAGGAATTTAATTAAAACCATAAGTACTTTGACTTTTGATTGTAGATGTATTTTTTTTTTTTTTTTTTACTGGGGATTGAACTCAGGACCTTGCGTTTGTGATACAGACGTCAGCACCACTAACCTAAATCCCCGGCCCTATAGATGCATTTTTCAGACAGTGGTTATAGAGAATATTATTTAGAATGAAAAATGAGATATTCTTGTGTTTTGCTCATATTTTAGGTAACAAAGGTGTATCTTCTGGTGATGTTGGGAGTACCTTTGTAGAAAAAAGTGTGAAAATAAGACAGGACTGTATGGACTTGGGTGTCTGTACCAGGGAGAAATGGGCACATGTGAGAGACAGCAAAACAGGTACCCACTCTTCATGTTACTTACTCTTTTAATGTTACCAAGGAATTTGAATTCCTCGATCTAAAAAAAATTCATATGCTCACTTAATAGATGTGTACTCACTGTGTGTTATATTCAAGGCATTGTCTAGACACTTTAGGTTTTTCACCCTTAAAGCCTTTTAGCTTTTTCTTTTATTAACAGGAACAATAATATGTTCTTTAAAGCTACATCTTACCTTTTTTTTTTGAGACAGGGTCTCACTATGTGATTCAGGCTAGCCTTGAACTCATTATGTTGCCCAGGCTGGCCTCAAACTTGCTGAGATCCTTCTGCTTCAGCCACCTGAGTGCTGAGATTATAGTCGTGCACTACCATGCCCTGCTTACATCTCACTTTTGGAAAAGCTTTTCCCTTACATCTGGAATGGGGCTTTAAAATGCTTTCCTCCCAACCTTTACCCTATATGGGGAATAATAGCCTTTCTGGACTTCAGCTGTGAAAATGAAAACATGACCAGAATAGGGACTCCTTTATCCTGAGCCCATGCTTCACCATGAAATCACAAGCACAGTTGTAGACATATGTGTTATCTAGGAAGAGGTCTGTTCTCATTAGATTCTCAAGAGGCTTTTGGCTCCCTCCTCACTGGTGCAGATCTGTGTTTTTCATACTTTTTAAAACCAAAGTAGCAAAATATTATTCAGCAAATAAACAACACACACAGTTGAAGTTAAGTATTGTGAAACAATGCTTGCCGTTAACGTATGCCTGGCACTCTGGTACATTCTGTTCTGTGGTCTTTTCATTAAACATGCTCTTCTCTCACCTTGATTTCCTATCTGCAGCACTGGTGGGGCTGGATGCAGTTGGAAAACACTGGCATTGGTGATCTCAAGGGTCTTGCCATCTTTTACATGCTGGGTTCATATCTCTTAGTCCATTGTTACCATTTCCACAGGATCTGGAAGAACAAAAGAAAAGTTTTCTTTAAAATAGCACAGCGACACCTTGTTCCTACCAAATACATATCACAGGTCAAGAAATACTAAGGCACATATGATGCCTTTTTTCCCTCACCATCTCCCGGCTCATGTTTCCACTTCCTCCAGGAGAAGAGGTATATACTGCCTGTTAGATGTAATTCTTTTCTACAAGACAAAAATGGGGTGAGTCTTTGTAAGGAGAGATGGGAAGAAACTCCTTAAGAACCTCCTAGGTTTTTGTCCTGAGAGATGCTTATGCCATTGTGAGCACAAACTGACTGTGCTGGGCCTGTCTCTGATTTTGTCCTATAGATGTTTAGGATGTGAATAAAAATTTTTACAGAGAGAAGGAATTTCTAGAAGCACACATGACTTCCACATGCCTGCAGAAAGTAGAAGCCCCAGCCTCTGTCTGTTTTCAAGCAAGAAACATGCAGTTCCTCTATTTTAGCCCTTTCTTCCATTGTCTATGGGACCTGGACAGCTGTCTGACCAATGATGGAACTTTTCCAGAATTTTCAGAACTATGGTTAACTTTTGATTATCTGGATTTCCCAGGCATTGGGGATTATATTTGTGGTAAGAACGGGCAGTTCTTTGTAACCTGAAAGCAGTGTAATTTCAGGTCAACATCTGAGACCATTATTGCAGCTGATGTGGATTAGAATCAAAACTGGAAGGAGGCTTGAGTGGAGTCTTGGATAGTTGAATGCAGATGCTTTTCTTCTCCCAAGGTCAAGAATGTCAGTGCCCGCTCCTGTGCTCTTCTGAGGCCAGTTACACACATGATCTCACTTTAACTGCTAATAGTATTATTGGGCTGCAAGTTATAGAGTTTATCTTGTGTCACTGAGCAAAATCCTCCATTTATGGCAACTTCTGTGCATATGCAAATAAACTTTAAATGATGTGATTGGTATTAATGTGATGTTATTTAGCGAAAAATATTTTTTATTTGTTTTTCTTAGGTTCCAGTGGAATACCTGTGAAACTGGCTACAAATCTCTTTAATTTAGACTTGCCCCAGGACTGGCAGCTATATCAGTACCATGTGACGTATATTCCAGATTTAGCATCTAGAAGGCTGAGGATTGCTTTGCTTTATAATCATAGCAAACTTTCTAACCATGCAAAAGCATTCGATGGTACCATCCTTTTTCTCTCACAAAAGCTAGAAGAAAAGGTATAGTATGGTTATTTTTAACTATATATGTGGGTAAACATATGCTTATGTACTTATACACACATATTTTAAAGTACAGTGATTTTTATAAGAACTGAAATGACTTTGTCACATCTTTCCTCTTTCTTGTTCTTTGCTTGAGAGCAAAAAGTCTTCCTAATTAAGACTTCATCAGTAACTGATTTCCTTATTAAGCTAGTGGTCTGACATTTTAAAAATAAGAGCTCTAAGTGCCCTTGAAATAGAGATCCTTTCAGATTTTTCCCAAAATAAAAAAGCCTTTACGAGACACCAGTTAGCCTATGGCTTCAGGGCTTTAAATTTATTCTACTTTTTTTTTTTTTTGCTCCTGCACAACAGAGCCTGTGTGTCCAAATAATTTTACATCTAGTTTTGAGTCTAGAACTATCATTCTTTTGCTACTTGCTCCATCATATGAAATATGAGTTCTGATACCAGTTCTAAGAGCACTTTTAAAATGTGACCATTGGAAATGAAAGTTGCATGTTTCATATTTCTTTATCCAAATGTTACGGTATGGTTTGGGTCTAGATGTCCCCCCAAAGCCTCATGTGGTTATAGGCCTGATAGAGAGTGTGAAGCTGGAATTGATTCATGATGCAATGCTAAACTCAAGGGCACTAGGATTAAGGGTGTGAGTGCTACCCACCCTAATTAGTCTGAATAAGATAAAAAGGGCAGGGAGATGCTGTTAAGTTTCTCTTGTTGTCTTTCCTGCCTTGTGCACACCATGTTGTTTCTGCTCTGCCATGACTGTTTGTCATCTCTGTCATGGAGTCGGTTGATTATGGACTGAAACCTCTGTAAACTGTAAGCCAAATAAACCCCTTCCCCTTTAACTTTGAGTGCTGGGTATTTTGTCTCAGCAATGAGAGAGAAGTAACTAACACACTATACTTTTTACACCTTCAACATTTTCAATCCTAAATAATAATATTAGTATTATTGTTATCATATACTGTGTTCTAAGACATTATTAAAATTTCTATAAGAAAAAAACCAGTTTCTGTAGATGTAAAAACAAAGCACTGGATTAAAATTTTATGCTTTTAGCCCACAGAAAGCTTAATCCTTAACATTTCAAGTAGAATTGTACCAATATAATATAGATTTAAACTTAAATTTCTAGAGTATAAGTAAATCTTTAGAATTTCCTCAAGAAATGCATTTCTGAGCATTCTTGGGACCTTTATCCTTTTTTGAGACCTTGCAATTTATAGGTCTTACTTGAGTGATGATTTTATGTGGATGTGGAATTTTTAAATTATACCATATGGTAAATCTAATAGCTTAGAAAATCTGTAAAGTTGGAAGCATTTTTGCTTTCTGTAAGTTCTGATTGGTCCTTCAATACTTTGTTCTATGGCTAGATGTCAATAGCATGCTAATATGGCTTCTCATACTTATATAAGGTATTTCAAGTGTATTGTTATTATAAGATCATCTTGTTCTTATAGATAATTTGTAATAGTTTAGAAATTTAAATATGTTAAAATTATTTTGTACTACTCTTGAATAGTCTGGCTTACTTCAGTTGTACCTCACCAAAATGAAGAAATTGGACCCTGCAGATGCTAGAAATAGGTTAATACCACTCATTTCTTATTCAGTTTTAAACACATTTCTGTTGCTGGGGGAGGAGTCTAATGAAGAGACAGGTGACAAAATAAACTATAAAAACTATAAAAACATAGTGTGTAACAAATCAGTCTTGTTGACTTTATTCTGAGAGAAAAATGATACTGCATCCTTGCCATTCCTCTACCTCTTTCCTAGGGGGCTTATGATAGTTGAAAGAGCCCCTTTACTAATTTATTTATTTATTTTTAATTTTTTTTTTTTTTGCACTAGGGATTGAACTCGGGACCTTGTGCTTGCAAGGCAGGCAGTGGAACCACTGAGCTAAATCCCCAGCCCACTAATTCATTTATTACATTCCCTAATAATGTGGCTCTAGAATCTGTTCAGCCACCTCCTGGCTTTCCACTGACTTCTGGACCCCATCTGTGCATGTGAAGCTATAACTAACTGGGGCTGTCATCGTTGTTTACACCTATTTGCCACACCCATGCACTCATGGAGAGCCTGCTGTGTACTCCATAGGGTGTTACCCTGTGGTAGACACAGGGTTCTTGTTCTCAAAAACTTGCAATTTATTACCAAAGTTCTAAGTAAGTACACTGCATGGTAGAATAAAATGAGTTCCTTATAATTAGTATTCTTATTCTGCTAACATTTAACCAGCACTTACTAAGTGTGGGTACTCTGCTTGGTTGTTCTCCAGATTAACCCCAGCAAATCTCTCTTGGGATGAGCAGTTCTATACCTGTGTCTCGTGGGTAGCTGCTACTCCATTGCTCCTATTTTGCTTACCAGACTACATTTGTTGACTTCTTGTTTTGCCAGGTTCTTACTAGCATGATCTCATTTACTCCTCTCATTACTCCTGGAGCCTAAAAGAAGTTAATTATCTTGCTCAAGGTCAACATACAGAGCTTGATGAAAGGCAAGATCATTCTTGGCAGGACACTTCAGTGAAAGTTACAGTTAGTTTTTTAGGGAAGATTTGGATCACTTACATGGACAGTAGGGGAAAGAGATTCCTAGGTAGAAGGGTAAAGGCACAGTGATAGAAAGTGAAGGCTTTACTTTAGAAACTTTTGGTCATTCAGGTTTAACCCAGAAGATATGGAAATTGTGGCCCCAGAGGAAGAGAGAATTTTAATTGTCCTGCTGAAGAAGAGAGCATATCCTCTATGGACCACTGAAGTCTTTCTGAGACAGTTTCCATGGGGGCTGTGCTAATTACAGTTAGTCTTATCACATTCTATTGAAAGTTTACAGAAAGAGGTGGAAAAGTTAATAAAGTACCAATGGAGTAGTCTGGGCAGGATGTCAGAAGAAAGCTTGAGGAAAGACACAAAATGCCTTCCTGAATGCCCATGGACTGACCATGCTATGGATGAAGATAAGATCCACGCCTTACCCCATTTAGACTCTGTGGTCCTGTGACGTAAATTGGACTCACTTCCACTTTAGGATTGGGAAAAGTTTTAAGACTTTTGAAAGAGTTGAAGTAACTTGCTCCAGATCACACTGGCTGTAAGATCCACTGCGGATCAGGGACTCTGATTCCAAATCGGGTGACCTTAAGCACTATGATAAATAGTGGTATGGAACAGCTGAAATAGAATGGAGACATCACTTGCATAGTGTACTGAGACTTTCCAGTTGATTAGATTGTGGGTGGAGGAGGGGAATGAAAATTTACTCTCAGGTTAGCAGCCTGGAGACCGTTGGGTGTGGGTCCAATATCAGATGTTGAAAGTCAAGAAACAGTTGGTATTTGCTCAGGGAGGCAGGGGAGCTGAGGAGTTTGGTCTTGGGTGGCTATTGGGAAATACATTTCTTGAGACTATCTGCTCCATCTCCCCTCAGCTTGTTGCAGCATCCTTTGTTGTCTTAGTCCTTTGTCTAGAGGTCCCTGCAGTGATTTGAGAGCTGTGTACTCCTCCTGCCAACCAGACTTTTTCTGATGGTGATGAGCTCTTCCTCACCATCTGTTCTGATTTTGTAGAAGTTTATCTGAGACAAGAAATCATCTCAGTGAAATATTTTATCCCCTGTGAAGGAAGCAGTTTCTCTTTGTTTCCAAGCAATGATAGGCTTCTGCCATATGTTCTTGGTTCAACCTAAAAATGGTTAGACTACACTATCTATAGAAAGTAGGCACAGAATACATAAATGCTTGCTAATTAACTGACTTCTAATTTGTTGCCTTTTTGAAAAATCCCTGATCACGGATTGATTATTTTTTTTGAATAGTTATATTCCATGTAAAATTATCAAATGGTAGATACAGAAAATATTTTTCTATCCTTTCATTTTGTGTCTTTGCTAGTGAAATAAGTTTGTCATGGGCGGTATATTGTCGGGTCTTTTGTTTTTTTTTTAATCCATTCACCCAGTCTGTATCTTTTAACTGAAGAATTTCATCCATTTACATTCAAGGTTACTTTTGAGACCAAAGTCATTCCTGTCATTTTGTTTGCTAATTTTCTTCTAATTGTTTTAAATATCCTTTCTTCTTTCCTTCCTCTTTTGTTTATCTCTCTGGTCTGATGGTTTACCGTATTGATAAGGTTTGAGTCTTTTCTATTTCTCTGCTATGTGTTAACTCTTTTACTGGATTTCATACTTTCACATATTTTCATAATGGTAGTTATCTTTCAATTTTGGATATAAGGTTTCTTTAAGCAAATTTTTATGCTTGTTAGGAAGGTCTTTATTTCTCTTGTTTCTGATGGATAGCCTTGCTGAGTATAATAATCTTGGTTGTCAATTATTTTCTTTCTGGCCTTGCAATTCATCTTTTGGTGAAGTCATATCGTTTCTACCACTGAGCAAACTGTAGTGCTTTCTTCCTCTGATCCTCAAAGCTTTCTTGGATGCCCTGCCGCCAAAGTCTTGATTCTAGATCCAGCATCCCACCAATGATTTCGCTTCCAAAGTAATGAGGGATTTTGTGCTGATCTTCAATGACATGGGCAAATCCTCCCTGGAGGCCAAAGTCCACTGAGAAGTAAGGTAAGCTTCTGGGTACAGACTTTTTGATGTCTTTTGAAGAAAGATCAATCAATTTCTTGTTCATGGACCACTCTTCATCAGATTCCATTATGGCTTTCTTAAAATAGACAGGAGCCATATCACCCACTTCCTTTGGGAGAGGAATACATTCATAAACCATGTGATACTGTTTCTTTTTTTTTTGGTATTGGGGATCGAACTCTGGTCCTTGCGCTTGTCATGTGGTACTATTTCTTCATGTTCATGTTAGTTTCTTAAAAAGACGCAGTCCAGGGCCAAGGATTTAGCTCAGTGGTTCTGGTGCCTGCCTCGCAAGTGCAAGGTCCCAAGTTCGATCCTGGTACTCGCCCCCCGCCCCCCAAAAGATGCAGTCCAATCCTTTATCTTCAAACATCTTTACTAATGGTTTCCTAAACACCTGAATTTCTTCCCAGATGTCTTCATCCAATAAGGTAGCAGCTCGATGATGCTGCAAAGGAACTATTAGGCAGTGCCCCTCAGAAAGAGATCAGAAGTTCAGTAAACATAAAGAAATCTTAACACCTATTGCAACAATAAGGTGCTTGGGAAGTTGAGAGCTGTCAAAACAACACGGACATTTTTCCATTTGTGCAACGGGACGCTGGTGCTCAGCGATAGCCTTTTTCCTCTGGTTTTGTTCTGCTTCACCAAGAGATTCTCTCTCAGCTGCTTTGGATATAAACATGTCATCCAGAGTGTAATAGTCCCCATCTGTTTTCCCCATAAACTTAGATGCCATTCTCATAAAAAGTTTGTTTTGACTTTCTGTTGTTCCCATCTTTTCATTTTTGACTAAATCATTTAGGCTTAGATTATCATCATCATGAAAGTATCTGACTTTTTCCTTTTCCTCATGGGTAGAAACCCTGTGTCTCTTCCTACTTCCTGCTTTTGATTCCAGAGGTTGTGGTGTGTTCACAGGCCACACTCTTCCAGATTCATCTGTTCTGACAAGATCACTTCTTGCTGGTCTGCATTCTCTTCTGCTCCTGTTGTTTTTGATGATATTTTGTGTTACAGTTTCTTTTAATTTGTTAGCCTTTTCAAGTTGGGCTTTAAGTTTTGCAGCCAGTTCCATATTCCCCATCATCTCTGCCTTAATAATCTTGGCTCCCAACTTGTTCTTCTCATCAACACTCAGGACATGGTTGGACCAAAAAATGTAGACTTTGTGGCCTGCCAATGTTCTCTCATTGGAGGGTCATCTCTCACTTTCTCAGCTGGTAATTTTTCTCCCATGTCTCCTGGAATGTGTCGAGAGTCAACACTGCTGCTGGTTTCCAGTGGCTTTTAACTTGGATGTTTCTTGTCTCCTCTTCCTTCAGATCAACTCCAAGATGTTAAACTTTTTTCGTTGTTTTCCATGGGTTTTTGGGAACCACACTGCAAAGAACCCTGAGCTACTGATGTTGATTAACTAGATGGCTCAAAATTTCTAGCCTTGCTATGAGATGACAGTTCATCATCATCAGATGGTCTCAAGAATTTAGGTCTCAAATTTCCTGCAGAAGTGAACTCTTGATAATTTTGCCTTGAACTGAATTCTCTTCTATGTGATTCTAAAGACCCATATCTCTTTTTCATTACCACTAAATTTATCGTTGTTGCTACTGTTTGCAATCTCTGTTGTTACCATACCTATCACTTGAACTTTTATTATATTTTACTAAGTCTAATCTTTTTTCTTGACTGTTTTGTACTTTATCGGAATGTATTGGTTTCCTCTATCATTCTTGTCTAGAATCTTCATTTTTGAATGTTTCGAATTTCAACTGAAATATTTCCATTAACCCATACCTTTCAGCTAATTTTCCTCAAATTTTCTATTTTGTTTTTCAGCTTGTTCTTTCATTCTTTGGTAAGATTTCCTTAACGAGCTTAATCCACCATCCTCTATTCCTGAGACTTCAACTGACGATTCACTGCAGTCTTCTGATGTAAGACCTGTGCCACCATCCTTCCAGTATGGATTCAATTCTGTTTCAAGTAGTTTACTGTTCAAGTGCTTGGTTTTTTTCTTGCTCTATTTTCCTTGTCATTTCCTTTTCAGCTTTAAGTGATGATGATGACACAGTTTTAACAGACAGGAAATCAATAGTCATCCACTCATCCCTCTGAATAGCTTGGCTGTCATCTTCTTTGTCTAACTTTTTGGTCTTTTGTTTTCGAGGGCTTTTCCTTGCCAGGAGTCTGGGATGGAACAGCCTCCACCCACTCATCCTCAGAGCTTGATGAACTATCAGTTGATTCACCTTTTTCATATTTCTGTTTCTTGCTCTTTTTTTTCTTCTCTTTCTTTTCTTTTTTTGAATGCTTTTCTTTTTTCTTCCTTTTCTTCCGAGAATGTTCCTTCGAGAACTGTTCAACTCGCTCATTCACATCAGGTAACATCCATGTATACTCACCTCGAAGTCGTTTAAGGTCTTTCTGCCTTTCTTCTTTTTAAAAATTGGCTTTGGCCTGATGAAACACCTCAGCCCTGGCAATTCGAGTCTGTTTCTTATGCTCTTCGATACTCTTTGCACTTTCAAATCTGCCACTGGAAGCCACCATAGTTGTTGGCATTGTAAAGCTAGGAAGCTGTCAGGCACTGATTGATATTTATTGACTGACTTTTGAGTTCTTTTATTTCAAAACCCTTACCATGTCTGTCCGGTTCAGGACATTCTCAGTATACAGTGTTGGTTAACATTGGTTTAGATTATAAGAAGCCTAAGGATTTCTTTAGACTGTTCACAAATTTTTAAAATCAGATTTCTTACCTGTTCTAACTTCTACCACTGGGTTCCCTTCCCTCATCTTTGCTTTCCTTCTTGCTTACCTCCACCCATCTCCTTTGCTTTCGTGTTCTCATCTACTCTTTTGCCTTATGAGTAAGCTTATTTCTCCATTGTCACAGGAGTCCATGAACTTAGGAGGGGCAGGGGAGTTACAGGCTTCTGGGCATCTGTGAACCCCCTGAAAATGGGTACATTATGTACTCTTAGAGTTTTACATATGTGAGATTTTCTTGAGAGAATGTAGCTTTTATCAGGCTCTCAAAGTAATTTGTGACTCATCTCCCTCTTATCCCCGAAAAAGGGCAAGAGCCAGTTCTGGAATTCTCTCTGGGTCAAGTATTTGAACCTGAGTCTAGCTTTGATTCTTCTTTAAGAATCATAGAAAAATGTGTTGCGTATTTTAGGATTAGTAAGACGTAGAGGAAAAGAGCTCTTTCAAATAACATGATTAGATTATTACTCATATCCTAACACCTGCAGTTTTTTGTTAATGCATATTAAATTATGATGGTTTTATAATACAGTATCTGTATTCTGTACACTTGGGCATAATCTGTAGAATATATTTTAATTACTTCTCTTCCCAGGTCATAGAATTATCAACTGAAACTCAAAGAGGTGAGACTGTAAAGATGACTGTTACTCTAACGAGGGAGCTGCCCTCAAGCTCCCCCATGTGCATTCAGGTCTTCAATATCATCTTCAAAAAGTAAGGCATTTTAAATAGGAATTTAATTTGAGCTAATGGTGCCTTTTAGGATAGAACCTGGGTTTTAAAATGATCAACCATTTTGTAGGCAGTGTGCCAGCAACAGTGCCATTTAGGACAATTTTTCATGTACTTTCAGGTTCTTGGGCAGTAATGTGTCACACAATTGATCATGGCCTCTCCTTATTATTATCCAGTGTCATCCTGGCTGAGCCAATTCAATTCTAGGGTTATTGCTGTCTTACTGGCAGCAGGGGGAGGGTGTCCTTTTCTTTTTCTTCATTTCCTATACTCCCTCCCACCCACAACCCCCAGAATTAAAAGTTATCTGTGTTTGACTACGTCACCTGCAGGATTTATTCTTCTCCCGGATGGTTGATGTGGGTTGTAGAAGATCATCACCATCTGCTTTCTGCCTTGGCTCCACCCTCAGCCCCTTCCCTTCTTACATGTATATGTGGGGCGGAAGGTGGGCTGTGACTAAGCTTCTCAGTGATCTTCAGAACAGGCCAAGGATTGTGTTTTCTAGTCATCTTGGTTGTAGGGTGGAATTTGGTCAAATGCAGATTTCCTGGTCCCTCACTGGACCTAGTAAACACAATTTTATTAGGGGTAGGCCTAAAAATCCACATTTTTAGCAAGCTTCCCAGATGACAAGTAGATATGCTAAAGTGTGTGAAACAGTTCTACAAGCTGCCGGTGATGAGCTACTCACAAGCTTTAGTAGCTCAAGATGAGCTACTCACCAGCTTTAGATGCCAGCCCTTTGCTAACAGCAGCCTCTGGAGGTTATGAGATGGAGGAAGTTTGGGGTTTTGCTGGTTAGTAGAGGCATAGAAAGGAACTTCCCACACACAGATGTGCTGTTCCATTGTTCTAATCAGATATCTTGTCCAGTCTCTTTTGAGTATATCTTGGCCTCAGATCATTGCAGTGTAACAGCATTTCAGAAGCTAGTCTGCCCTGTGCCCTCTGAGAAGGGACTCTTTTAAACCAGTCGACCTTTAGAAAGTACTTTTTAGTGAAGAAGCTTTTTCACTTGTGCCTTACTTTACTGTAGTGCCCTGAGGCACATACTGTTAAATCCTCATTTTACAGGTAGAGACTCAGGCTCAGTGACATTTGATAGCTCAAATCACAGAGTAGGACCTCTCATATTCTCACTCAGAACTTCCCCTGGACTGGGCAGCCTCTCATTAATGATATCTCCATGGTCTTAGAGGTCCATGATGGTCCTAGAGGTGACCAGGGTTAGTTGCTGAAGTTATTTGGGAGCACCTGGGGAACTTGAGCAACCTCACCAGAAACTGCATCCTTCTCTTGAAATGGGGAAGAGGCCAAAAGAGCTTTCAGACATGGCTTGCCTCACCCTTTCTAGGCCAACAAGAATGTTACAGTAACCATCATTGTAGTTGGTGTTTGACCACGGATTTGTCATTTCAGTCAGTCCCAGACAGATAACAGTAATTTCAGTGGTATCATTCTCAAATGAAGAAGCAATAGTTCTTATATATACTCAGGTGTATTTAGTATCTAAATATTCCAGTGTTGTAAGAAGAGAAAATTCTGCACTTGCTGTATATTTTTATGTTCAGCATGAGTACAAAGTTAGAATTATACTGTTTCTGACTAATATTTATCAAAGATTCAAAACAATATACTTTCAGGATCTTAAAAAAGTTGTCTATGTACCAAATTGGACGGAACTTCTATAAGCCTTCAGAGCCGGTGGAAATTCCCCAGCACAAGTAGGTTTATTTATATTTTCTGTTCCTCTGAAATGATTATAATTGTGAGCAGCATAATTTATGATGCAATATTATGCCATTATACCTCCTATGAGAGACTCTGAGATATGAAATATAATGGAGTTTTATAAATTTTGAGTTTTTAATAGAATGGTGAATGTGAAAACAGAAGACACTTTTCTTATATTAGTGTGTAAAATCATTATCATAAATTCTAAAAGATTCAGAAACTGAATTTTCTATGTATAACAAGTAATAATGAAAGCAGAAGAAGCCGTATTATAGCATATAGCTAGTGCTATTGTTGAAAGGCAGCACAGCCAGGGTGGTTGACATGAAATCACAGGGTCAGAGAAGCCACCTAGACTGCCCTAGTGAAGGGCAGAACTGTTCTGAACACCTGCAGCACGTTCACCCTGAGCTGGGAGCTTGATGCTGTGGGGAAAATGGTTGGCTCTGTCTTGAACTGATTGATATGCAGTGCTCTAAAATATTATGTCAGGTGAAAGAGAAGCAACTGGTAACTCAAAGACAGACACAGAAACAAAGGGAGAAGTGCAGAAGGGATAGAAAATTGGAGTGAAGGTGTGGCCTTCTGGCTGGTAGAGGGAAAATGGTGGAGTTGCCACATGTTCATTTAGTGAGTCAGGGTGGTCTCTGTGCAGATCTTTTCATCTTTTCATAGCTTACCTCTCTGCCCAGATAAGAAATTCTCACAGGTCTAGGGTTGTTCTAAGCTGGCATGTCCCCATTATCCTGAAGGCTAGCCTAATATTATAGTAGATTAAATCTACAAAGTAAGAACTGGGATTAATTTTTTAAATATTTGTGTGTTTTTTCATGCCACTTCTGTAGCTTCTTATAAAAGATTTTTTAGGCCATGTGGAAAAGAACTGTAGCTTGGGCTCCAGTTTCTCACATATATCTGTGTGTAATGTCACTTCTTGCTTTCCTTATTTCATTATTGAATCTGTCCTCAGCTTTCTCCTTTGAGTTGAGTTTACCAAACCAGATGTTTCCACATGAGGACAGATCACCCATAAACATATTACCCCTATAGCTATGGTTCTCAGCCAGGGCGTTGTGTCTCTCAGGACACAGTTGGCAATGTCTAGAGACATATTTGGTTGTCACAGGTAGGGGGATGCTAGTGGCATTTGGTGTGTAGAGGCCAGGAAGTTGCTAAGCATCCTGCAATGCAGAGAACAGCCCCTAACAAAGAATTACCCAGTCCAAGGAATTATCAGAAGTGTCAATATCGTCAACACTGAGAAATTCAGCTTTTTAGGACTAAATTTAAGCCTACGTACATGTTTAAAGACACTCCAGGTGAAAATAACTAAAGTTTTTAAGTCAGCAACTGGGAGAAATCAAACTAAAGAAGAAAAGATCAGACCTGGAGAGTTAGAATGAAAAATCATCATTTAAAAATGTTTATTGTTTTTTGAATGTTTATTTTTCTTGTTATTTTTATTTGTTTTAAAAGATTATCCCTTTGGCCTGGGTTTGCTGTTTGCGTGTCACACTTTGAGCGTAGCCTTCTGTTTGGTGCTGACGTGAGCTATAAAGTCCTCCGGAATGAGACTGTTCTGGAATTCATGACTGACCTCTGCTACAAAATCGGCACATCCTGCTTCACCCAAATGTGTGAGCAACAGCTGATAGGGCTCATTGTTCTTACAAGGTAAAAGTCTGTGTGTAAATAAATTTTCTCAAGAAAATGAATTATTTATGTTGTTTGGGAACAGGAATTGCACTGGAGCATGGATATGATCAGTTTGCTAACCTGTTTAGAAGACCTGGCTATTCTCAACAGTCTGGAGTCCAGACTTTCTTATGTAGCACTCTGCACTGATGCAAGCTGTCATGGTTCCAGATTATCTCTTGCTGTATTCCCATCCCCTGTTCCAACCCTTAATAGTCTGTACCTTTCTGCTCTAGTGCCTCTGCCTGGGCTCCAAACCCCAAATTCTTCCTTTCAAATCTCCACCTCCACACAGCCCACTTGTAATCTTTCTGAGCCTCTACTTGTTTCCAAATGGGCACTGTTCATTCTCTCCCTGTGTTTTTTCCCATAGCACTGTGCATAGACCCACCTCTTCACAGTCAAGTTACCGCACTTTTTTTTTTTTTTTTTTGTACCAGGGATTGAACTCAGGTCCTTGAGCTTGTGAGGCAGGCGACAGAACCACTGTGCTAAATCCCCGGCAAGTTACCGCATTTTTTAATGTTATAGGACAGAACTTGAGGTCCATGTCTCACATTCTGTAAGATGCTAACATTTTTTAGGTTAAGAATATATTTTTACTTTGTAAAACTCTAGTTTTATTTATGTATAATTTGCCCTCTGTGCACATTGAATTGAACACAGGCAGATTCAGTGACTTGCTGAATACTAAGTTTATTACATACTGCTGCTAATCCAAAAAGATTTCTTTTAGGGGACAGTCTAGCCTTCTCTTAGTCTGGGTTAGAATTTCATGTTAAAATTGTTTTTTTGGCTTATATAGCCGAGTGGTGGAACTGGTTGAGTTCCATACTTCCTGGGAAGGGAAAACACCTCTCTCTTATCTTCCTGTCATAGTCTTGATAGATTAGTTTATCATGCTACTTCACAGACACCTTGCAAGGTCTTGAGAGCTCTGGAGAAACCTGCTTCAGTTTTCTGTCCACAAGCTGGGGCACATGAGAGGTCATTCGAGGCTATGCATTGCTGAGGGGAGAAGGCACTAGAGTGATCTTAGCTGAGGTGGTTCCACAGTTTTGCCAAGGACCAGTCCTAGATGAGGGGTGAAGCATGATGCCACAGTTGCTGTTTGATGAGACTACTTTGATTTTTTTGTCACAAAAACAGGGAGCTGAAAAAATCCGAGTGACCCCAGAAGCTAATGAGAAAGTTTTGAGCAATGCTTTGGCATTTGAACATTTACAAATGACTTACCTCAATTTAAAGCGTCTATCAGTGAGAAAAACAGATTTTAGTCTAATGACTTTCTTACGAGTTTTGTTGGAATGTGATCCTCCTATAGATTAGAGAATTAAATATCTTCTCAGATAAGAGTTAAGACTATTTTTGTGTTACTGGCTTCTATATTTCTGATACTCCAGACTGTATCTTATACTTTGTATTAAAACTATGAAGTATTTACTCATTTGAGATGATTTGGAAAACTTTTCTAAATAGGTTTCTTGCACTCACTAGGTACAATAACAAAACCTATCGCGTTGATGACATTGACTGGTCTGTGAAACCGACACATACCTTTCAGAGGCGGGATGGTTCTGAGATCACTTACATAGATTATTACAGACAGGTAAGTACTTTTTTCCTCCTTTCCTCTTGGCCCAGAGAAGTCTCTGTCCCTTTCCAATCCACCAAGTTCCCCAAATTGTCAGGCTGAGTCTGCCTCCCACGTCATTTCCTGACTTACTCCTTTTCCTCTGTCCCTGCCTTGGCTCAGACCCTCATCCCGTCTCCTGCTGTCCTTACTGTAGTATGAATAATCTCTCTTAAGTGCGTATTTGATTGTGTCACTTCCAAATTTAAAACAGCCTCATGGCTCTTTGTTGCAGTAGAAGCCAAATACAATTTCCTTATCAGAGTTTCCAAGGCCACCCCATGCTTTTCCAGCCTCCTCTTTCTTCTGTCTTGTCCCTTCCTAGTTCTCTGCTGTAGTGGCCTTTTGTGGTTCCTTGACTTAGTTTCTCTGCTATGGGCTTTTACACACTTTGCTTCCTCTTCCTGGGTCCCTTTTTATAACCTGACAAACCTCACACCCATCAGTACTTAGCCACCAATTCTCAAGGGAACCCCCTGGCACTGTTCCTGGGCTCCCTTCCCTGAACTTAGCTGGAGCAGGTCATCTCAGGCAGAATATGAATGGTTTGGCCTCCTTCCTAAACCGTGGGCTCTCTGGGGAAAACCTCAAGCTTTTTATTTCTGGATACCCAGCGTTAACATAGTTCCTTACATGTAATAGATCCTCAAAAAAAATTTATTGATGGGATCTCCTGCTGCTCTTCGGAGTTATTTTCCTTACCACAAGCTCCTGACCCCACTTTCCATATTTAGTGCCTTTCATGACAGTGTCTCTTAATTATGTAATCATTCAGGTCTCTAAAATCTCACAGGTGTATTAACAAACAAAAGCAGAAACTCTGATCTTTTACACCTTCCAGAAAAGCCCTCTTTTTCTCCTCAGCCAACTTTGAAAAGTTGTCTAGACTAATTCTAAGCCCCTCTTCAGTTTTTCCTTCTGAAAACATCAGTGGTCTGGTATCCAGCTCTGTTGCTATGGAAACAGCTCTACAAGGATCAAAATCAGTTGCCTTTTTTCATCTTAAGTGGCTTTCAGGGACATTTTTTCCTTATCAGTAATTATTTTAAGTGACAGATAATATGCATCTTTATACAGTGTAATGTTTTGGTACACTTATACTTTGTGTCTTACATGTTAAATGGAGTAAGCCAAGCACAGAAAGAGAAATACTGCATGATTTCACTCATATGTGGAATCTAAAACTGCTGAGGTAGAAAACAGAATAATTACCACCAAAGGCCAGGGAGCGTAGAGGAAGAGATTTGTTAGTGGTTACAAAGTCACAATCAGGAGAAATAAATGTGGTTTTTCTACACAGAAGGGTAATTTTGCTAAAACGATTTCAGTAACATTTGACACCATGACTACTCCTACATTCCTGAGCTGCTCCCTCCCTTGACTACTGGGTCACATCCTTTGTGGTTTCCACTAAGTTTCAGGTTGTTCTGACTAGGCTTGCTGTGATTATTTTTCTTTCTTTTGCCCCCTCGAAAGGAGCCATTATATACCATGGTTCCTTCCAACAGCATCTTTTCTTTGTATTTTGAGACTGCTCAAATATTTTCATCTTGCTGCCCTTCTTAATTACACATTCATCTTCATTTCCAGAACATATTTCGTGACTATCCTGCAGATGTCTCAGGATAACATAATTCAAACTGAATCTCTTATCTTTCTCTTTCATATTTCTCCTTGGAAATCATCTTATTTTCTTCCTCTTCTTCACCCTCATCTCATTCAGTTGTCACCAGGGTAAGTTCTGCCCCTTTAATCCTTGAAATCTGTCTGGAACCTGCATCTGCCTTTCTAGCCTGTTCCAGCACAGGGGTGGAGGACCCCTCGGCACATCCCCCAGGGGGTAAACACTGCAGTCAGCCTTTACAGTGCCCATGCTCCAGCTCTCCTCACCATGTCGCGCCATTTCCACGACACCAGGGAGCTCTTTCTGAAGTACTGCTCAGAAATGTGTTTAAGAACATAAACTGAACCAAGAAGGTCCTGACTGTAGCCATGTCACTTTGGACAAATCACTACAGTAGGAGACTAGTGAGACTTAGCAGACCTCACTGTAGAGGGAATGTATCTGCCTACCTTCATCATGTAATGTAAGCACTGGACAAGATAGTAGTGCATGCAGAGCCCTTAGCCTAATGCCTGTACATTGTGGGCACTAGGCAAATAGTGGAGACCTTTCCATCCCTTGAGAGCCTCCGCTTCTTCATCCCTAGTGTCACAGTTTGATCCCACCCTACCTTTTAGCCTCATCTCTCTTGGCATCTCCCCATGCATCCATGTTGTCATCACCCCTGCCCACTCACTACACACTAGCTGGTCCTCAGTCTTTGTGCACGTTTGCTAGGCATCTACATAAAGCCATATCACACCTTTCCTCACCACTGATCAAACTGTAGCTTCAAGGTCAAGTGTGAGCCACTTTTGTGATATCTTCTCTGGACATTGCTTTCTGTCACACATGCTCTTCTGTATGCACCTACACCATGAATCACACTGCTTCTAGATTACATTTTCCTTGTAGAACAGGAATCTGAATGCATAGTGTCTGGCAAAGCATCTTGTATATAAAGTGTGTTCTGTGTTTGCTTATTAAATTCACAGTTTGTTAAACATTTGGGTTTCTTTCTTGCATGATGTAAAGTTGTTCTTGTTTGAACAAATATATTTTAGGACTTGTGATTTCCCGAGCAGGGAATCATAGTAAAAATACCACTCACTTTTTTTTTGTAGTAAGCTGTAGTGCATAACCATCATAATAGGAAGGAAATGAAATAAAATTCTTAACTTTTAGAGTGTCCTTCTGTTTGTCCCAGGAAAAGAACTCTAAGTTATTATGTAGTTTTCATAGTGTAGTTTCCATTATATTATCTGGAAAAATATTTTTAAATGCTTAGAAAATGGAGGCAAGGAAGAAGGTAAAATTCACCTGAGGACAGCAGCTTTGAGGCAGACTTCTTGGCTGTGCTCGATCTAAATAGAAGATCCTTTTTCTGACCCTTGCCCAGCTTCTCTTGAGCTGTTTCCTGGGACTTCCTTATTCCCACATTTTTATCAATGCTTTTTCTTGGACTCTGCCTCCTTCCTGAAACCTTCCCTGATTTAGCAATCCAGGGACCCAATACTCAGGGTGTAACCAGAGGAGTTAAGGGATAAATCCTGGCTGTGCTAATTTCCAGTTATGGAGCATTGGGGAAAGTTTCATTTCTAACCAGGGTTTCCTCATCTGTGAAGGAGGTGATGATAATGTCTGTATTCTATATTTGTTACGATGAAGAAAAATGTGTGCTTTGCATATCGTTATTTGTGCTTCTACGCTTTGTAGATAATGTTATGAATGAAAGCAAGGACTATGCCCCTTTTATCTTTGTATTCACTGCAGTTCCTGGAACATACCAAGTCACGTGCGCTGAGTTAATAAAATCGTGTAAAAACACTTGATTAAGGCTTTGCCAAGCCTTTTATCCATGGCTTTAGTTGCACTTACCACTTTAAAAAATTATTCATGAATAGTTTTCTATTTTAATGACTAAAAGTCCTTAATGAAATAGAGAAATGCTGGCCTTGTACACTCTTAGTTATAATTTGATGTCAGCAACATGCAACACCCAGGCAGTTTGTAAATTTTAATTGCAGTTGTTCTGTCATTAGTGTTGAGTAAATTATACAGGAAATGAGTGTTAATTGGAGCCTTTGCCATTAGAAATGAAGTTGTGGCAAGGTGAGAACATTAAAATTTAAGTTTAGGAAGGGAAAGGGAGTAGAGTATGAACTGACAATGACCAAGGATTCTGTAAGTTACATACCATGTTATTGCTTTACCTAGGATACCATTACTGTTGGCCTCATTAAATAGGTAAGGAAAGGTGAAGAACTTCCCCAGTATCACAGTCCATTAAATGGAAGAGCTGAGGATCCAGTTCATATCTGTCAGACTCTTCTCTATAACCTACCATCCTGAATGTCAGTCATGTTCTTTCAGGAAAATCTGAGGTCAACTCAGTATAACCCTTGCTTCCAACTCGTGTGCAGAGATTTTCAAGTTGAACACATTTAGAACCAGTTAGGCATGGGGTGATGTACTTCATTCATCAGTAGTGGAAACTCTGGCTTTGAGTCAGCCCCTGGTGGGGCAGGGGGTCCCTCAACAGTGACAGAACCTGCCAAAAGCTGTTCTGAATGTGTACAAAACACAAGGAAAGCAGGGGAATACTTTGAAATGGTGTTGCAGTGTAAGAGACATTGTCATTAAAATAATAAAACTGGCCCTCAGATATAAAAAATAAGTTTTGAAAAGAAAGTTGTAAGGAGTAGGAAACCTTGGGATTTTTCCCTCCACTGAAGAGATTGCTTATACAGTATATTCATTTTGGGATTTGTTTATTGCTAAAGATGTTCATCTTGCAGTGTTTCCACTTTAACTGTTCCCTCATTATTCTTGCATTTTATAGCAATATAATATTATTTTATCTGACCTAAATCAGCCAGTGCTTGTTAGTCTATTGAAAAGCAAGAGAAATGACAACACTGAGCCTAAGATTGTCCACCTGATACCAGAGCTCTGCTTTCTAACAGGTAATATTTATGTTCTATAACCCTGTCAGGTTCCTGATCAGAGATGCCTGAGCATTAGGAACAGAACTTCATTAGCTAAACAAATGCCAGAGCACTGATTTAATTCATAGAGGATGGGCTCCTTCAGTAATTTATTCAAATATAAAGACAAGAGAGAGGATAGAGAGCCCTTTAGAATCTAGCTCCTTTACCTCATATATTCACTTGTTATTTTGATGTAAATAAATCTCTAGTTATTTTCCCAAAGCCAAGTTGCTTTTTGAAATTTTTTTAATTCACTAGCATAGGAAATAATATGACTTTGACCTTTATAAGCTATATTCTTAAAGTGGTGCCAAAATGATTCAGTTTCTTTTTGCATGACCTCCCAGAAGGTAATCCTCACTATATGGTAAAATCTAAATAATTTATTTTTAATAATATTTATTTGACTAATAGCATGTGATTTAAGAAAGGAGGACTTTGTACTTTTTATATATTTGTGAGTCAGTTGTGATATATATACTTATAAAACATTTTTCTACATAATGAAAATTTAATAGGATATAATCTTTAGAGGGAAGGATACTCATTCCTAGTGGTTTTTTCTGTGTAGCCCAGCATGGTAGTCCCTAGCCATATGAGTTCATTAAACATTTGCTGTCTGACTGGCTCTATTGAGAAACTGCAGGGAGATGTGCTCTAAGTGTAAATACCAACCAGGTTTCAAAAGGCTTAGTGTTAAAAAAAGAAGCTACCTGAATAACTGATTTTTAATATTGATTACATGTTAAAATGTTAATATATTGAATATATAGGGTTAAATGACATACTATTTCACATAATGTTATCTGTTACTTGGCTTTCTTTTAAACATGGCCACTGGAAAACTGTCAGTGACATATGTAGCTTGCTTTTCTGTTAGTGCCATCCAGATGGTGAATCTGATTCAGTTTGAATGGAAAAGCTTCACCTGTGCTTGAGATGGGCTGGGATTCCATTGCATGTTCATTTTCTCACATTGTTATTCTTTGCATTCACAGGCCTGGCTGGCCAGGCAACCTCTGATTTCCAGCTGATGAAGGCTGTGGCTGAAGAAATGCGTCTCAGCCCTCTCGGCCGGCAGCAGCGCCTGGCCAGACTTGCTGATGACATCCAGAGGTACTGAGTTGCTTTGCTTAGACTACGTGTGCTCTGAGGCAGGCCCGAGGCTGAATGGATAGAATTAGATGATCTATATCGTGGCCAAGTTCTTGATGAAATGCCTGATCTTGTTAACTCAGAACAAGGCAGTTATGCATTGAAATATAAATGTTTGGAGCCCAGAGGTTCATCCAAGATGCTCAGGAGTAGCAGGCTGAGGAGTAGTGGTGGGAGGCGAAGCTGGTAGGATTTGCATCTCCCTTCAGCTACACAGCTCTGCTCTCATCTGCTGAATACATTGAGGTTGGGGTAAACTTTTGAAAATAGATAAGGGTCATAATTTGAAGAAACAACTCCCCCCCCAAAAAGAAAAAAAATCAACCAAGCAAACAAAAACAAAAACAGCAAAAACTTCTCCAGGCTGTCTCGGGGTGAGAAATACTCAGCTAGTGATACAGTGGCATTAGCAGGCAGAAGTTTAGCAAAACCCCTGCAATAGGCACTTTAAGCTTAACGTGTCCTTTGTCAACTGCCCTCAGTTCCGACAGTTTGCTGAAACCTGGGATAGGACACTAACTTCTTCCTGGTTCTCCTTTCTGACTTCCTAGAACTGTGCTGTCTCGGACTGTACCCCCATGCGGTCACTGGGCACTTGATGTGTGGCTAATGACACATCTTGAATTGATAATATTTTGGATCTATTAGGTTAAAAATATATATTTTAAAATAATTAATTTGTTACTTTTTGATGTGGCTTTCAGATGGGCTGGAGTTACACTGCATGTTCATTTTCCCACACAGTTGAAGCTTTTTCATTTAAAGTGAATCAGATTCACCATCTGCGTAGCACTACTAGAAAATTTAAAATTGTATTTGTGGCTTGCTTTATGTTTCTGCTGCGCCACATTGTTGGATCATTTTCCTTAAAAAATTTTTTTCAAATACGAGCTCAAGAAAGTAGAAGTTTACATGAGCAAAATAAAACTCAGTAACTTTATTAAATGAATGGATCATAACTGAATGAATGCTGTATGTTTTTTCAGGTGTTTGCAAATGAATACAATCCCCCCACTTTTTTTTAGGAAAACGGCATTGTACTATACATCATATTTTGTAACTTGTTTTTAAAGGTTTTTCTTGAACATTTCCATATGATAAATGTCAGTCTCTGTCATGCTACAGGCTTCATAGTTTACATTTTATGAATATACTTTTTCTCATTTTTTCTGGATATCCTTCTGACTTGCACGTACTTGAGAAGAGATTCTGGTTTGTCCCCTTATACTGGGCTATGGATTAGTGCTTTGACTTATCCTCCCACCACCTTTCAGTAATGCAAGTTACCTTACCCTCTTTTCCTGACCATTAATGGTCTCACCCATCTCATCTTGGGAAGACAGTATGTGAAACAAATCATTAAGTCAAAGGATTCAGTGTGACGAGACAAGACACGTAATCTTGGTAAAGACAGAAATAATGACCTGTTGTGGAGTGACAGTGATAAGTGGTTTGAGTTTCCTGAAGAAGGAAGCAGAGCTTTAATAAGGAAACAAGGCTGGATCTCATCAGTGTCCTGTGAGTTTCTGGCTTCCTTTGTGCTGTGTATCATGTAGGAGACAGGAGACAAAGTCAGTATGATTGCCACACTCAAGGAGCTTATAGTGCAATAGAAATTACATCATGTCATAATCCCATCAGATAAAACATAAAGTATGATTAAATCTTACTAAGTTATAAACTTAAAGTTCTACACAAACATAAAAGACTTATTATTGCTAATACTGATAATCTCTTCATGCTCTTCCAGCTCCTCTGTCTATCCTATGAACCCTTGCAAGTCTAAGCCCTTTCGTTTCCTTCCTTTATTATCTTCCATCCACTTCCAAACCAGTGAATTCAAATATGAAGACATCACCACATCCAGAGGGTCCAAAGTATCTCCATATTAGCAAGGTTGTTATTAGAATGGTAGTATCTTAGTTGGGCATGGTGGCACATGCTTGCTATCTGGTGAGGTCATGACCAGCTTGGACTACATAGCAAGAATCTGTCTCAAAAAAAACAAAAAAAAAGATAATATTTAATATTGCACATTTATTGAGTTCATGTGCCACGCACTATGGTAAGCACTTTCATATATTGTCATATTTAATTTTTCTATCAGCTCAGTGAAGTAGTTACGTTTATTATCCTTACATTTTTTTCCAGCAAGAAAGTCAAGGCTTTAAAAGATTTAATAGTTTCTGCAAGGTAACATATTATTATATGGGCTTGGGAGTTGAACCCAGGTCTGCCAGGCTCCTGGCTCAGACTTGCTTTTCTAACCCGGTTGAAGCCTTTTCCCAATCCTGCATCTCCCAAAAAGGGCACAGTTGTTCCACCATTCTTTTGTGCAGGAAAACAACAACAACAGAAAGTTAATAGAAATAGAAGCCAGGTGTCCTGAAGACACAATCAGCTCCTAAATAATTCAATGAGTTATAATTTTATTTCAAATGATTAAAATTCTTTAGAAAATAATCATTTTAATGATTTAAAACAACTCTGTTAACAGAAACAAAGATGCTCGTTTTGAGCTAGAGACCTGGGGACTGCACTTTGGAAGCCAAATGTCTCTGACTGGCCGGGTTCTGCCTTCAGAAAAAATATTAATGCAAGACCATGTAGTAAGTGCTGTGATTTTATTTCCACTTAAATTATTTACTTGAATGTAAGTTTGATCATTTACCAGAATGCTGGGAGGATTGGCATGTTCATTTGTCCCTCTATGGCCATGTCCTTGCCTTCCCTTTGTTCTAAGACCTCAGTCCCTCTGATTTCCTATTCAGTGTGAATTGACCTGCATGGGCTTACTGGCTTCCAGGAGATATGATTTAGGTCTATTAGACAACAGTATTTCAAACCATTGCAATTAAAACATGTCCACCTATGCTGTCATTGTACTCTTCTTACATGCTTAAAAAGCAAGCAAACAAAAAAGCCATACTTACCTGAGAAAATTTGTTAAGCTTGTGAAAGTTAATTTTAAACTATTTTTTCTGATATCAGAGTTGGTTTTCTAGTTGTTCTGTGAGTTGTGTCTGTTGCTCTTTCAAAGTAAAGTGCTGCCCATTTAGCATAAGATTGAAGAAATTCACAGTGAGACCATGTGCAGACATAGCACCTGGGCAGAGGCATGCCAAAAGCCGAGGAGATAGCATCCAGGTTTCAGTTGAAGAAATGAACCTATTTCAGGCAAAAATTGTATATTATTTTTCTACTTTCCCCATTTTTCCCAGTTTTTAAAGCCAGTTACATTTCATTTCTTAAAATGCTCCCTTTGTTACCATAAAGCAACATGCCTAAAATACAGTGGTTCTTCGGTTCACAAACTTAATTCACATTTCCCAATAAGGTCAACATTGAACCTAACTATTGAATTTGATTCACTTGTCCATTTCAGTTTGTGATCAGAATCATGGAAAGAATTAAGTTTGTGAACCGAGGAACCACTGTACTATAACTGAGCAATGAATGTGTCATGTTGGCCAAATGGAAAATTTTCATCATTTCTTTCTGATAATCTGCCAAAACTACCAGAAAATGTACTGGAGAAGCAGAAGGGAAAACTAATTTTCAAAACAAAACTGTTAAGTACTATAACGTAGGCCCCCACAAAGGTCTTGGTTGTGGTCAGTAAAGAGAGGCTTACTTTCAGATCCACACATTTAAAATGATCCATCTCATTATGTCTATAAGTGAAGTCATACTTACCAAAGTTTATTGATTTTTGTTTTATTTTATTTTCTCTTTTGCATTTTTTGGTGTAGAAATAGATCTCCTTAGGACAGTGATGATGAACCTTTTAGAGCTTTCAATGATATCAACAGCCCTGCTGCAGCACGAATGCCATAGGTTCACCACCTTAGGAGGAAGGCATTAAAATGGAAAAACCTGCCACCTAGAGGTAGTGACCAGTTAGACATGTCTATGTCATCAACTTCATGGCCAGTTCTTTTCTGAAATTAGGTCCTAGGAACTGATTAAAACTACAAGTTCATAGGCACGTTGGTTGTCCTGGTCTCTTTTCAGTCTCCAATGACTCCAGGCAGTGTTGTGAGCAAGAGAGCTATGGCTCTCTGGCTGGAATGTATAGGAACAAACCTTTGTCCCAGATGGAACCTTTCACAGAGGGCCAGCCCTTCCTTTTTATTCTCATGCTAAAGTCCCCTCCAGAAGCTTGATCCCAGCCCAGCCACCTGGGGCAGGGTATCATGAAGATGGCTGGTGGCTGAAAGAGTGACTAGTGAAAAGTGCCGTGGTAGTAACAGCAGCCCACTAGCATTCTAATGCTGTCACCGCTGCCACATTGGCTCCTAACTTCTCAGCCACAGCTTTGAATCTGTAAAACGAGCAATGTGGAATGCTTCTTAAACATTAATGCTTGTATACATCACCTCTAAAACTTGTTAACACGCTGATTTTGATTTATTGGGTCTGGGACAGGGCCTGGAACTCTGCATTTCTCATACTCTCCCAGGAGAGCTCAGGCTGCTGGTACATAAGACAACACTTTGAATAACAAGAGATTAGAATAGAGTGTGCTTCCATTTAATTCTAGTAGTGGATCTTCCTGGCTACTCACACTAAAGACATTTTCATTCATATCAAAACCTTGGATATAAGCAGAATGCTTGGTTCCAGTCCAAAGTCCCCCCACTTCAGTTCATGGAACTTGTTTTTCCTAGTCACCTGAGAGCTTCCAAAGAGTGGAATCCTGAAGCTTGCATCCTGGCCTCATCTTTGCTCCTCATGTAGCTACTCCTAGCATAATATATAGTCTTATCAAAAACAAAATATATATAGTCTTATCTTCCGTGCAGGGCTTCTCAAGATTAGAGGTAAGACCTAGCGTATACATAATCATTTTCTGTTTGAGATATCAGGATACCTAAAGTAAGGCAACCAAACTGGACAGCCTGTTTGCCTGAGCCATTCCTAATAAAAGGATGTAGATTTTCAGAGCTGGAAGTGAACCTCAGATATCTTTGAATCAGAAACCATTTTCTGCACAGAGCAGAGACCTATGAGATCTTACACGAAGTTCTGTATCTAGGGTTTGGCAGACCTGGGATGGTTCCCAGATGCCTCCACTCCCCAGAAGCAAATGTATTCTGTTCAGATGAGCAGTGCTTGCATCTGTGTTTTTAAGACTGTGAATAGCAATCTGCCTTAAATCATTCTGTTGTGACAAACATTGGCCATCTGCACACTGTCTTGTTTAATAGCTTGCTGAATAAATGTGTTCATGATCTTTTTTCTCAGTGTCAACCTATGTCTGCTGCTGACTGGTCCAAGGATATACGAACTTGCAAGATTTTAAATGTGCAGTCTTTGAATAAATGGTTGATTGTATGTAGTAACAGAGCTGAAAATGTGATTGAGGGCTTTCTGAGCTGCTTGAGAAGAGTTGGAAGTTCCATGGGATTTAATGTGGGCTACCCAAAAATGTGAGGATATATTGCATTTTAAAAATATATTAATTTGGGCTGGTTAGAATGAAATAGTGGCTGTCTTACCTACAAGAACCTTATCTCAGCAATATCTTGTAATATAAAGTGCCAAAGATACCTATAAATAGATTTTGTAACAAAAATTTATTATAAAGCTAAAATATATTTTTTGTTCATCTGTGTAAAAATTTGTTTTCATAGTTTTTCCTAGTCGTCTCATTACCTTAAAATCTTTTCAGCATAAAACTGTAAAGATCTCTATATATCCTTTTTAACTTTTTTCCTTCTTTTATATCAGTTATTTATAAAACTTAACAGCAAAAAGATTAAAAAATAAAATTGTATTTCCTGACTTCATAGATTTTATGTTTTAAACTTTAATGAAAAAATTTAAAGCTTTTCTGATTCTGTTACTATAGCAAGATTAATCATTTAGATTTCTGATAAAATCAAGGTTATTTGTTTATTCTTTGATTATTGTCTACTGGATTCTTAGCCAGTTGCTAGGGATGATAAACATATTACTTTAGTAAGGAATACATGCATATATGATCATGCTCAAAACTGAATATTGTTTTGTTTTAGAAAAACTGTAGAGTTTGTTTTTCCTCATTTCCTTGAGTTTTATATGTTTAGAAAGAACAACGGTTACTTCTTTTTCCTTGTTATAGGGGAGGTGCAAATGTCCTAATTGGCAAGTGGGAAGTTATTCTTTAAACACATGGTTACTAATTAATTACATCAGAAGCACAAGTATTGTTGAAAACCATAGCTGGTCGCAAAGTCTCAATTTACTCTATAGTTTAGAATTCTCCTCTTATCAAATCTGTTAACAAATCTCTTGGTTCAGGTTTCTCCTGCTCTGTTTTCTCTTAACCCATGAGCTAATAAAGCAGGAAAAAATTATGAAAGAAGCCACAATCTGCAGACCCTGGGCTGCCATCACAGGCACTTTCTTGCAGGAATGTTGTGAACAAGGCAGTGCCTGAGTTCTGTGCTTGCACTGTTTTATTCGAAAGCCCGTATTTTATTCGTTCTTTTTATTTCCTATGAAGTATTCATTTACATGTTACAGTTATATGTATAGCTTCTCTCATCTAAGAAACCTAGTAATTTTTTTTTTTTTGGTACTGGGGATCGAACTCTGGTCCTTGCGCTTACGAGAGAAACCTAGTAATTTTAGGAGGAATGGGTTGAGTTGGAGTGCAAGAGTTTGAACTGAAAGTCAGAAGTGTTGAGTTGTTGAAATGGCGCAATGGGCCATTCTTGAATCTCTCATTCTTAGAATCAGCAGCAGGGCTTAGTGGTTCTGCCACCAGCTGGGCAAGTTTTAAAAGGCCACTGGTCTCATGGAGGCAGTCCAATCATACACACAAAGAAGGTGATTCTGCATGAAGAAACCAGATTTATAGGTGCTCTGTGTGGGAGTTACTTCTTTAGCCTCTGGCCCCAACAAGATGTTACATAATTGATAAATACTTGCTGACTGATTGGTTAAGGCTAGATGTTCCAGGATCCAAATAAGCCATCACTGAGGATGAAAAACAAAAACAAGAAAAAAGAAGAAAAACTTTCCCCTTGAAATATGCAGATTGGTTGAATATCTTGGCTATATTAACCTTATGATTCCTGAGGTTTTAAAAAAAATTTTATATTCATTATTAGAGAAATCTTAATCCAGCTTTAATTTAAACCCTGTTTCAGACTCTTGATATTATGAGACTTGTGGTTTCAGAAGTTCATTTTTGGCCTTGTTTTGAACAACAGAAATATTAATTGAAGGGTTTTATACAATTGAGAAAATTTCATTTCTACAGTAATAAAAATGCTTATTAAATGTTTTTGGCATATCTTGTAGTAGGAGAAACAATTCTAAACTCAAAAGGATTTCATTTTTAAATGTTTTTTTTCTTAAAATTACAAATCTGTTATAAAAATCCATTTGTATGATTTCTAACACAAAATGATTATGTACTACTAAGAAGGGAATTAATCTTTTTATGTAGCATAAAAGTACAAGAAAATACAGCTGCATTCCTTAGAGCAATCCAACAACATGTTGATCTTCATGTTCAGTTGGTAAGTAGAGGATTTTTTTGAGGTACAGTTTTTATTTTTTCTTTGTATCAGTAGTAAAGAAGGAATCTGAGTGTACTCTCCCATGATATTTTTGCAAATTCCTGTGCATTTCATCTAAAGCATTCCAGAAAGGATAATCTAAATATTTTCATCAGCATTTTATTTTCCTATTTCTAATGATTTTTACGTATTTCTTGTTACCCCCTGTATGTCTCCATAGTTTCCATCTTGATGAGGATCATCTTTTACTCAAGATTTAAGAGAAATTGACCTCTGCCTCATCCTACATGTGTTAGGGTAGTTATTTTCTCTCCAGTATCAGGGAATTTTCTGGAGGACCTAGGTCTTACTTAGTTGACTATGACCCCAGATTCCCACTTGCCACCTTCTGTGTATTTCATATAACAATGCCATTTCCTCCTGCTCCTTGCCACTCTGTGGGGTATCCGCATTTGCCTCAGTTGTCAACTCCCTTGCTGGCTTAGCCCAATACCCAGTATTCTTGTTTGGATCACGTGCAAACTAGATTAACAGTCTCAGGTTCTTTTTTAGTCAGACATAACACAAAAAATGTCCAAAGGATGTTATTTTAGAGAATTCTCACCTTAACAGCATTTACTTTTTATTTAAATAAAATCCAGCTTACAGAATAGTTGTAAAAATAGTATGAAGAACTCTCATATACCCTTAGCAGAACATCTAATTATTGACATTTTGTCACGGTTATTTCATCATTTCCTATCTTTTTCCATGAACCATTTGGGAGGAAGTTACACAGTGCCCTATTATTCTTGAATACTTTAGTGTATATTTCCTACAGACAAAGTCACTTTCCTATAGAACCCAAGAACAACCAACCAGCCTTAGGAAAAAGAGCTAGTGAGCAGGGAATTTGAGGGGACAAACAGAATCAATTCAGGGGAGAAATGAAGAGGAAGGAGAAGCTAAGGGGAGATGGGTAGGACTGGAGCAAACAGCTGATGAAAAGTGATTTCAAGTGACGATGATTAATTTGTATGTGGTTTAAAGGCAATTTAAGAGAAATGTTGACATGTTAATATTTGCTTCTTGGACCGTTAGGGCCAAAAGCTGTTTGGAGAATCCATGTATCTTTTTCAAAAAGCTGCCACACACAAATAAACTGATTTTATGTTCTGCCGTGTTTTGTTTTGTTTTGTTCCCTTCAGGTCATGTGCATTCTGCCTTCTGATCAGAAGAATTACTATGATTCCATTAAAAAATACTTGAGTTCGGACTGCCCAGTCCCGAGCCAATGTGTGCTTTCTCGGACCTTGAATAAACAGGGAATGATGATGAGCATTGCCACCAAGATTGCCTTGCAGATGAGCTGTAAACTTGGAGGCGAGCTGTGGGCTGTGGAGATACCTGTGAGGCTCTGTCACAGTTCTTCCTTTTAATGGCCACCCAGTCGATTCATTTTTAAATCAGAGTAGGAGAAAATATCACCACTCCCAGAATTAGTTATCCCTCATTATCCTTGGGGTGTTAGTTCCAGGTGCATTGTCTGCCCCAACCCAAGATACCAGAGTCTGCAGATGCTTGAGTATTTTATTTAAAATGGTGCGATATTTATATGTAACCTTCACACATCCTCCCATGTACTTTAAATCTTCTTTGCTAACATAATGTAAATGCAAAACCCTTGGATATGGAGGGACAACTGTATCTGGTTTGCTTGTTGAGCTCTTTCAGTTTGGGTATTACACAAACCACTGCAGAGATATTCTTAAGGAACTTTTCTTAGGAGGCTTCAGTTCAGCTGCCAAGTTAAAACAGTTCATGAAAGAGAACCTAGTGAGTCTTAGGCTGGGGAGGGGGGCAGAGGGCTACATTTGGATGGCCTTTATCTTCTTTACCTGCTTTCAGCAGAGAGCTGCCTCTCAGGAGCTTTGCATCCCTCCCTCAAAGCCCCAGAGCCTGAGGCATTGGCACAATTTATCATCTCAACCTCTTGTCTATGATGGGAACTGAAAAAATCCTCTTCAGGGCCAAACTCTAGCCACTGTGGGAGGAAGTGTGCAGAATGAGAAATGGGGGAGTGTGTTTGTTGCTTTCCACTTCCATAGCCCGGAAGTGGGGTGGGGGTGAGGTTGAAAGTGGTTACCACAGTCCCCCACCCAGGTGCAGAGTCTGGTCGGGATTCCCTAGCAGTCTGAAGAACAGGATCCTTCAGACAGGAGGCAAGGAATAGATTGACCACTCTCCCTAAATCTCTTTAGCCACTGATGCCTCTTGACCACCGGACTATCTTAAGCAAAGTGTGTATCATATTCTTCCCTCCACCTTTAACTCTCAGGTTTTTGGTTTAATGATCTGCCTCATCTGGATTTTGCTCTCCCTGACACAAAACTTAAATAATCTAGTGACTGGAGACAGTTTTTTTAAAAACATCATATTCACCATTGCTCAGAGGAATGATACTTTATCCCATTAAATCATGACATTTTAAATTTTATAGTTAAAGTCCCTGATGGTGGTCGGTATTGATACCTGTAAAGACACACTCGGCAAGCAAGTGGTGGTGGTTGGATTTGTAGCCAGTATTAACCCCAGAATCACCAGGTACTTTTGAAATTATCCTAATATATTCTTCAGTTTGATTGTTAATTCAATGAAAGAACATATCAGCAAGGAATAATTTGTATTTTTCACTCATATTCTAAACACCAGCATTTATGGTCATAAATTATACTTGCACATAAAAATCTGAGTGACTACATTGGTACTATGTAACTTCATTTTTTAAAAAAGCTTTAGACAGTCATTGGGGCAAGCAGTTGCTCATATTTCAGTCATATTCCCCAAGTTATGGATGTGTGGAAATTTTTGTGCATTTATTTATTTTCTAAGTATCTGCTGCACTGTACTGGGCAGGGGAGGTACTTCACATATATTATGTCAAATATTGGAGCTTTGAATAAGATAGCTTGGAGTTATATTCTGGTCTGCCACTAACTGAGATCTAGTTATTTAACTTTGCTGTGTCTCCTTCTAGTTATCCATACAATAGGGATATAATAGTGCCTATTTCATTGGGCATTTATGGGAATTAGTAAGATGAAATCCTTAGAATATTGCTACCCATAGTAAATGCTCATCACATGTTTGGTGTTATTGATATTATTATGGTTTTCAGTATACATATTTTTTCATCCCCTTGGTTAAATTTATTCCTAAGGGTTTTATCTTTTTATGTTATTACAAATGAGATTTTTTTTTCTTAATTTCTTTTTAGGATAGTTCATAGTGTATAAAAACACAATTTATTTCTTAATGTTAATTTTTATCCTGCAACATTATTGATTTTTTTTTTCTGATGTTTTGGAGACAGGGCCTCCGTGTGTAGTTCATGCTGGCCTTGAACTCGAGGAAATCCTCCTGCCTCAGCCTCCCAAGTGCTGGGATTCCAGGCATGTACCGCCAGGCCCAGCACTTTACTGAATTTTATTTATTTACTTTTTTTTTTTTTTTGGTACCAGGGATCGAACTCGGGTCCTTGCACTTGCGCAGCAGGCGGTGAAACCACTGAGCTAAATCCCCGGCCCTCTTTATTGAATTTTAAAAATTAGTTCTAACAAGTTTTTTTGGTGGACTCTTTGGGGTTTTTATATATAATATCATGTTGTCTGCAAACAGAGACAATTTCCTTTCCCACTTGGAGGTCTTTTATTTGTTTGCCTTGCCTAATTACTCTGGCTAGGACTTCAGTACTCCACTGAATGGAAGTGGTAAGGAGGGACATTCTTGTCTGCTACTGATTTTAGAGGGAAGGCTTTCAGCTGTTTTAACTGTATTTTATTAGCTTTCCCTTCACTGCCATATAATACCTGACCCCACAGCTTAAAGGAGGGAAGGTATAATTTAGCTCACGGTTTCAGGGGTTTCCATACTTGGTTGGCAGGCTCCATGGCAGAAGCTTCATGGCAGAAGGGTATGGCTGAGCAGAGCTGCTTCATGGTGGCCAGGAAGCAGACCAGGGCAACCAGTGCCAGAGACAAATGGGTGAGGGACCATATTCAGTACCCAAGACCATGCCTCCAAGACTCCCCCACACCCAGGAATATGCTTTACTAATTTTAGTCCAAGGAAGTTGGCATAACAGGATCAACAGTCACAAGTATGATGTTAGCTGTGGGCTTTTTATATATGGCGTTTATTGTGTTCAGGTATTCTTCCCCCCCCTCCCCCCGTACGGGGATTGAACTCAGGACCTTGCTCTTGCAAGGCAGGCATGGTGCCACTGAGCTAAATCCCTGGCCCATGTTGAGGTATTCTTTGTATACGTAATTTTTTGAGACTCTTTCATGAAAGGATGTTGAATTTTTTCATATGCTTTTTATTAGTCTATTAAAATGATCGTAAGGTTTTTTTCTTCATTCTGTTCATGTGGAATAACACGTTTATTGATTTGCATATGTTAAACCATCTTTGCATCCCTGGTATATGGCCTGCAATCAAAAAATACAATGAATGTTTAACTTTTAAAGATTATACCGTATTGCTGGATGTAGTGGCACATGCCTGTAATCCCAGCACTAGGGAGGCTGAGGCAGGAGGATCGCCATAAGTTTGAGGCCAACCTGAGCACATAGCAAGACCCTGTCTCAAAGAAGCAAACAAAAACCCGAACTCAAACCCCCAAAAATTATTACAGTAAAGAAAACATTGCCATTAATCCCCTTGAAAATACCTGCCTCCCCCACTTGGAACACATCTCATCATTTCCCCCACTTTCTGAAGCAGTTCTGTAAGTTCTCTTCCATGCCTTTTCATGGCTGTCTCAATGTTCTGAATTGATTCAAAACACTTAGAGCAGTTTCTGTCAAATTACATTACAGTGTGTCCTTGTCCACCTTATTCACCAAACTTGGCACCATACACCTAGTTCTTCCCCAAAGTCAAAATGACCATGAAAGGTAAATGTTTTGAATGGATTCAGGACATTGAGGCAGCCACAAAAAGACAACAGAGAGGACTTCCAGAACTGCTTCAAAAAGTGGCAAGAATGATGGTATATGTGTTCAAAGGGAGGAATATTTTGAAGGAGCTTAATGGCGATGTGTGTTTTACTGTAATGAGTTTGTTTTATACAAACATTCGCTGTAGTGTTTGGTCCTACCTCATACAGTCTTTTTAGTGTGCTGATTTTTTTGGTTTGGTATTATTTTTGAGAACTTTAGTATCTGTTTCTTCAGGGATATGGAAATATTTTTGTAAACTGTCCTTATGTGGCTTTCATATCAGGATAATGTTGGCCTGATAAAATGTTTAGAAATACTACTTTCTCTTCAGACTCTTGGAAGAGTTTGCTACTGTATTGCTGTTTATTTCTCATTTAATGTTTGTTAGTATTTGTTTTCTATACTGAAATATTCTAATGTTGGATGCATATGTATTTCAGTTGGTTCATCCTCATGATGAATTAACTTCATCATTTTTTTAACTTCTTTATCATTATATGACTTTCCACGTGTTTTGTGAGTTTTCTGCCAAAAGCCTATATTGTCTAATAAAAGTAGAGTTATTTCTGCTCTCTTTGTTTCTATTTGTGTGAAATTTTTTTTCATCCCTTCGTTTTCAGTCTGTGTGTGTCCTAAAAGTTGAAATGAGTCTCTCATAGGCATCATTTAGTTGAGTCTTTTTTTAAAAGAAATGAATCCAGCTATTCTGTCTTTTAATTGGAGAATTTAATCTATTTACATTTCAAATAACATATGATAGGTAAAAACATTGCTATTTTATTCATTGTTTTCTGGCTGCTTTGTAGATCTTTTTGTCCTTTAATTCTTCTTCTGATGTCTTCCTTTGCCATTTGATTTTCTTTTTTTTAATTTTAATTTTATTAGTATGTGTTTGTACTCCCTGCTCTCTTAGTTCCCTTCCCTTTTGCCTCCCTGTTTCCTGTTATCTTTCATTTTGCTCTTTATTTATACTTTGGGTTTCTCATATAAGAGAAATCATATTGATTTTCCATAGTGATATACTTTGATTCCTTTCTCTCTCTCTTTTGTGTAGCAAATAGGTTTTTGCTTTGTGATTGCCATAAAGCTTACACAAAGTATCTTACAGTTACTAAAGCTGATAACAGCTTAGCTTCCAGTATAGACAAAAGCACTTTGCTATTATTTCCTCCCTCCACATTTTTAGTTTTGGTGTCACAATTTACATTTTCTTATATTGTGTGTCTATTAGTAAATTATTGTAGCGATAGTTATTTTTGGTACTTTTGTCTTCTAACTGTATACTAAAGTTATAAGTGATTTACAAGCAAGCATTACAGTACTAGAGTATTCTGAATTTGACTGCATACTGTACTTAAGTACCTTTACCAGTGAGTTTTCTGCTTTCATATGTTTTCATGTTACCAATTAGCATCCTTTTATTTCAGGCAGAAGAACTCCTTTGATGCTTCCTGTAAGGCAGATCTAGTGGTGATGAACTCCCTCAGCATTTATTTGTCTGGAAAATTAATTTTTGAAGGAGACAGTTTTTCTGGGCAAATATTTCTGTTTGGTAGTTTTTTCCTCTCAGCATTTTAAGTATATCATCCCACCATCTCTTGGCTTGTAAGTTTTCCCCTGAGAAAACTGCTGATGGCCTTAGGGGCTGCCTTGTATGTAATGATCTTCTGTTCTTGCTACTTTCAGAATTCTCTGTCTTTGTTCTTTGATAGTTTGACTATCATGACTGGTGAACAACTTCTTTGGGTTGAACCTTTTTGGGAATTTTTCACCTTCGTGTACCTGGATGTCCTTTCTCTCTCCAGACTTGGGAAGTTTTCAGCTAGTCTTCGTTTAAATGAACTTTCTGTCCCTTCTCTCATCTTTTTGAAATTTCCATAATGCAAGTGTTAGCCTTCTTGATAGCATCTGTAAATTCTGTAAACTTTCTTCATTCCTTTTAATTTAAACATTTTTTTCTCCTTTGAATTTTTTCAGACTAAAAATTTTTTCCTCTGAGAACAGATTCTTCTACTTTATACATTTTTCATTCCATTTATTGTATTGTTCAGCTCTAGAATATCAGTTTGGTTCTTACTATTTTCTTCTCTTTATTGAAGTTATTATTTGTTCATGTTTTATTTTTCTGATATTATTTCTGATATTATTGAGTGGTCTATCTGTGTTCTCTTATAACTCACTGAGCTTCCTTAAAACAATTATTTTCAGGCAATTCATAGATCTCTATTTCTTTGAGATTGGCTATTGAAATATTGTGTTCTTTTGGTGGTATCACATTCTTGACTTTCCATGTTCCTTAAAGTTTTACATTGCTGTCTTAATGGAAAAATTAATTACACCCTCTAGTCTTCACTGAAGGTCTTTGAGAGAGCAATGCCTTCATGCCTTTACCAGTCATCATGGCCAGGTATTCTGAGGCTCTTTCGGGCCTTTTTTATGAATGTGCTTGCCCTGCAACTCTTGTTGCTGCTTACAGGGTTTCTTAATGTTGTGCACCTTTTTTTTCTTTCTTTCTATTTATTATTAGTGCACATTTGCCACATATAATGCTCACATTCATCAGAGGGAATTTGTACCTGTATATAATGTATTTTAATTCCTTTTCTTTGATCCTTCTTCTCCTCCTCATTTACAGAAGATTTGTTTACATTTTTTTCCTTTTCATTCTTTGGTGGGTTTTTTTAAAATCTCTTTTTCCTTCGTTCACTTTCCCCTCCCTCCTCCCTTGTTCCCTTTCTTGTTTGAACACATTTTTCCTGCTTCCAAATATCTGTCCTCCATTTTGCTCCGTATTTACCCTTAGAGTTTCTCGTACAAGGGAAACATTGAGATATTTAGACTTGGGTTGTCCACCTTCTTGCAGTCCTACAAAGCCAGGTCAGGTGGGCCGGGGATTTAGCTCAGTGGTTTCGCCGCCTGCTGCGCAGGCACAAGGACCTGAGTTCAGTCCCTGGTACCAAAAAAAAAAAAAAAAGCCAGCTCAGGTGCTGAGAACTCCCATTTGTTTTCCATAGCAGAGTCCAGAATTGCTTACATCTGTACGTCTTCTCTCAATCCTGCACAGATGCCTGGTCTGTGGGGTTGTGCTCAGGAGTCAGGCTGGCAGTGGTGGTGAAAAGTGTGTAGTATTTGAGGGGCTCTGGGCCAGTTGGGGGTGGGGTGTAGGCAAGGTATTCTAGGCAACATGGTTGAGCTTCCCAGTGGAGCTAATGGAACAGTAAGCATGGTGTTAAGCCTCCCTTACCTGCTCCCAGACTCTCCCAACCTCTCAGCTCAGTGTTTTGGTGAGGCAAGAAAGAAGGGTCTTTTGGGCAGCATCCTACAAGGGAAGGGAAGCTAGGTGTTCACTTTCTACACTCTCACTTTCCCTGGTGGAATCACAGACCAGGGGATCTCTCTTGGCACTGAACTGTGCCACCCACCATAGGTGAGGGATGACATAAATAACGTGAATCTGTTCTTACCTTTCAGTGAGTCTGTTCTTAGACTTGTAACTATAGCAGTGTGCTGCAAGTTCTTTAGTAGACTTCTGGACTCCCAGAGAAACACTCTCATTTATGGGTAGTTATTAAAATTAGTACTTCTGTGTGTTGGGGCGATTCAGGAGGATAATGCTAGAATCCTCCTGTTCTGCCATCTTGCTGGCATCACTCAGGACTCCTAGTTTCTTAGCATTATTCCTAATTGTGTTGCTATCATTGCATTTACTCAGAGAACTATAATGTCCACATACTAAGTCATGTTCTTAATGTTCCAAATGATTTTTATTATTGACTTTATCAAGAGAACTTTTGAAACGTAGATAAGTTAATCATGTTAAGATATCAAATCTAAAAAGATGACCTATAGAAATGGAAATTTCATACTTGAGAAATCTTTGAATGTTTTAGAAGAAGAGGAAGATATAGTGGTCTCTATTAGTTCTTACTATATGCCAAGTACTATGCTGAGTATTTTACATTTACTATCTAATTCAATTTTTACAACAACCCTGTGAGATATAATTACTGTCTTACTAAAAATCTCCTTGGTACATACGAAGAAACTAAGGTTTAGATTCATGTGGCACAGCCAGATAGATTTGAACCCTGTTGCCCAAACTATGTCTTAATTTCACTTATCAGTAAATTTATCCCAGAAAGGGGTACTTTTTAATATAATTGTGATCACATAGCATATATGAAATTATAAACATTGATTTTTACTCATATATATTTCTTAATATTAATGTATGCCTTTAATCATAATGTGTTTATTAATTTAACATTAATACATATTTGTAGTATAAATCTTGAAGTTGAATTTTCTTTTGGCTTTTGGTTTTTTTAGGTGGTTTTCCCGCTGCATACTTCAGAGAACAACGACTGACATTGCAGATTGCTTAAAAGTCTTCATGACTGGTACTAAAAATGTAGCATTATGGGTGGGCTCTAAAGACACTGTTCCTTCAGACCCCAAATCCACATGCATATAGCAGACCCAGGTAGAAGCAAATTCCCTGAGCTTCTCAACTCACCCAGTTGGAGATCCCTAAAGCTGTGTGCTGACTCACACAGGCTAACAGTCAAACTATGTAGCATTTACATTTGTATGTGTGTGATAAATAGAAAGCCAGAGGGAGGAAAGTACGTGGTTGTTGGTGGCCCTGGCAAGGAGTTTGAAGGCCACAAGAAACTTCACCTGGAGGAACTGGGATTAGAAGAGAGGGGTGTTAGTCTAGACCTAGGAGACAAGCCTTTGCCCCTGAGATGGGGTCACTAGCAAACGAAGTGTGGCCTGGCAGGAAAAGCTGGGGAAGATGAGAGATGGTACCCTCTTCCCAGTGGGATGCAGCAGGACAGACCTAGGGTTTCCACTTCTTACCAGTCCTGACCCAGGTCTGGCTTTGCTGTTGTTCCCTAGCAGTGTGACATATGCAAATTCTCCTCCCTGGGTCTGCATTTTCCAATCTGTAAAATTTGGGGGATTATACATTTTATTTTTAAAAAGTGAATTTGATGATTCATGCTGTTGATGATCTTTTAGATACATGACTATATTGTACCAAACTAAACTGAATCTTCTATACAACATTTCTAAAGCAAACTGTACAATATATATATGAAAAGAATCATTGCTTCCTATTACTTCCCCATCAAAACCTGGTAAATTTCTTTTGGCAGTTGTTACCGAAAGTTTCTCTTGAGAGTTACTGCCTGATTTCTACTCTTATTTCTCACTCTTTTCTAGTTAAGAGTGGGTGGAAATGTATTCAAATTCATACCATTAGTGAGAATTAGAATTGAATTCAGTGTGAAGAGATGGCCAAGTCATTTCTTTATGTTTTCATATTTATTCTCATTAAGGAAGAAAAGGATATAAACTTATTTAGTCGATATCTGTTGAGCAGATTTAAAGGCTTGAAGAGAACAAATTAGTATTAATTTGGTTTAGGCATTTGTTTCCTGCTTGATTAAAATTATAATTTGTTGCTTAAATATTAAAATTTGGCTATAGAGATATGTTAAATTTTAAGAATACATTATGCTGTGCTCACTTCGGCAGCATATATACTAAGAATACATTATGTTGTGGAAACCAATATAATTTCTCAAATAGCATAGATGAAGAAATGCCCCTAATGTATCCATTTTTATACTATTGCAAATGTAACCCAAATTAGGTATTACCCTATTTTACTGTGGTCTGAAATAGTAAAATTATTTGAATATTGAGATACAGTGGTGCCTTGGTTTATGAACTTAATGTGTTTTACAGTTTTGGGGAAGATGGCTGTGTTTATATTTGTGTGGATAAGATGGCTCTGGTCTTGTTTGTCACCCAATGAGGAGGTTACCCAGTGAGGAGGTTACAAAATTTTGCAGAACACTTTTGTTTGTGAACCGAATTGTTTGCAAACAGAAGCGTTCGTGGACCAAGGCATTACTGTATATAGGAATGTTACTTTTTGTTGGCATTGGACCGGTCATTTCTTTTTCTAATGTCAAATTCTGTAGGAGCACTCAAAGAGTGGTATAAGCACAACCACGATTTGCCAGCACGGATCATTGTGTATCGTGACGGAGTAGGGGATGGGCAACTCAGAGCAGTTATCGAATATGAAGTCCCACAGCTGCTTAGCAGTGTGGCAGAATCTGGCTCAAAGACCAGGTATGATTTTATTGTTCTTTCTCTGACACTTCCAATAAAAGCACATTCCCTTGCACCTGTTCAACCCAAGATAGGCAGATAAAACAATTTTTTTGCTATGCAATTACATTTTGCTGTGTTTGTGTATCATGCCAGCCTGGCTGGCTGGATTTTCTCTAGGTTGGAGGATAGTTGGATTGGTCTAACATAAAGAGCCTGATAGTATAAGCTTTATGGGCCCCAATGGGTCACCTAAAGGAAGGCAGGTGTCCTTCAGTGGAGCTGACACGGACTCAGCAGGAAGCCTGCAGGGCTGCTGCAAGTGAAGATGCTTCATACATATGGAAAAAGACAAGCTGTGGTGTCAGGTGTGAGGCCCAGATCAGTAAATGGGCAAAAGTTGCTGAATTACAGGCATTAATGTACAGTGAAGGTGCTGAAAGGTGCGGCATGGGGAGCGAGTGCCATGAAAGCTGAGCTGCAGGTAGAAATCAGACCATCTTGAGCATAAAGCACGTTGCTTCACTGTTGCATTTCTATATTCGGTGTGTAAACATTTTTTCTTTAATAATTATGTGAAGTAGCAAATGCAAGAAAAATGCTAGAAATGGAAAATGAGGGAGGATAATGTCAAGTTGGTGTCTTAAAGTTTCCTGAAAGCATCTTATTTCCAAGCAGTGCACAGAGCTCTGTCTGTATCATTACACCATCATCACAGCTTCACAGCCACAAGCCACAAAGGCACTGAGTCTTGATCTTTACCAGTTACTGTTGGAGAAGAATGAAAGTCTAATAGTTCGGGGGGTTTTGGGGGGGTTACTGGGGATCGAACTTGGGACCTTGGCTTGCGAGGCAGGCGGGGGAACTGAAAGTCTAACAGTTTGGTAGCCATGTCACTTGCAATTGCACCCAAACTGTTACAGCCAAAATATCTCTTTCCCTACTGACTTCAGGTGAATGTATATGAGATGAATAACTAATAATGAAAAAATATGTAATCAAGGGAAGCAGGAGTAAATCCAGAGGCAGAGAAGTTGGTGCTAAGAAGTTACCCTTCTTTTTTTCTGGTACCAGGGATTGAACTCAGGACCTTACGCTTGCAAGGCAGGCAGCAGCACCACTGAGCTAAATCTCTGGCCCCCAAAAGTTATTCTTCTTGCTTTATAACATCAATTTTAAAAGTTTCAGTATTGAAAACATTCATAACAAATTTTTACATAATTAAAATGGTTAAAGTAAAACTTCGTAGTGAATATTTCATCCCAGAGGTTCTTCCAGTTTGGATTTGGTCTTGGCTTTAGCACTGACCAGAACATATATTTGGTCTGTACAGCCATTCAGCTAGGCATGAATTTTGCAGGATTCAGAAGAAATGACTTCCCTTTTGCAAAAGAAGAGGGGACTAAAAGATGGAGGGGAGGGGAGGATAAAGGGATGAAAAAGTATTCAAGATGTATAATGTGTATGTACCAACTCCCCACAGGTAATGTAATCATGTAGTGCAAACATGTACTAATAAAAATAAGAACTGAGAAAAATAAATCCAAGAGACACAGTCACACAAATTAGAATGGCTAAAATTTACAAAGATTAATAATAATAATTTACAGTAGTGATCAATACAATTGAAACTCATAATTTGGAATGTATGATAAATCACCATGTCCATTTCAAAAAGCCCTCTGGCAGTTTTCTAAATTAAAACTAAACATGTGTATTAAAAAAAAAGAAATGACTTGAGGAGTAATAGGACTGGTAGTTCTTGCTTTGATACTCAGAAATAAGTTTGAGAGGATGATTTGCTAATTGGAAAAAAAATCTCCATGGGTAATTCTGGAAAAACTTACCTTGAATTGCAGTTAAGGTTTATTGTCCTAATAGTCATTCCCTTCTTCCTTTAAGTGATATAAACTAGGCAAATGACTTGGCATAGTACACTTTCGCAAGAAATGAGAGCAATCCCTAGTTTAAAAAAGTTTATGTTTCTCTAGGATAGGATGCATATTGGGTGATTTTTATTTTGTTTTACAGTGTTTTTCTAATGAATTTCTATTTGTTTCATTTTAAAAATTAGAAAAACCAGAAAGCTTCCTGGATTTGTTTTAGTTCTGTCCTTATTTTTCTTTTTCTGGTTCTAAGCTCCAGATTGTCGGTGATTGTGGTCAGGAAGAAATGTTTGCCACGATTCTTCACAGAAATGAACCGTACTGTACAGAATGCCCCAGTTGGCACTGTCGTGGACTCAGAAGCAACACGTCCTGAATGGCAAGTGCCATTGAAAAATCAGTTTTTAATGAGCATTCATCACCTCTTGTTTAAGTTTGACCTTTTTCTCTTTGACTTCTTTCCCACATTTATTCCATTTTTTCACTCAGGTATGACTTTTACTTGATCACCAAGGCTGCCTGTCGGGGAACTGTTAGTCCCACCCACTATAATGTCATCTATGATGACAATGGTCTGAAGCCTGACCACATGCAGAGACTAACGTTCAAACTGTGCCACCTGTACTACAATTGGCAGGTGAGAAAAGCTGATTATTATTTTTTGGTATTAAATTCTTTTATTGGTACATTGTAGGTATACAACACAATTACATTTCTCATTGGGAATTGTACCTTTATATAATGCATCTTGGTTCTTATTTTTTCCCCATTCCTAGTCCTCCCTTCACACCCTCCACCCTTCCCTATTTACAAAGACTTTATTTCCATTTTTTCCATTTCTCAGCATTTTTCCTTTCCCTTCTTTCCTTTCCCCTGCCCCTTACACTACCCCTACCCCTTTGGACCTTTTCTTCCTATTTTACATTATCGATTATTCATTCTAATCATTGGTACATTTTAGGTATACAATATAATGACATTCATCATTGGAAATTTGCACCTTTACATAGTCTCTCTTGGTTCTTATTTTTCACCCTTGCCCAGCCCTCCCTTCAACCCCTCCAGTCCTCCCTATTTACAAAGATTTTGTTCCTATTTTTCCATTTTCTCATATTAATCCCATTCCCTTCTATCCTTTCCCCTAGCCCTCCCACTTCCTTCCCCTTTGCCCCTTTTCTTCCTATTTCACATTACCTATTACACCTTTTAGTCCTTATTTACACTTTCAGTTTCTCACACCAGAGAAACTATTTGGTATTCACACATGTGTGTCCTATTTATTTCACTTAAGAGTATTGCCTCAATGTGCATCCACTTAGCTATAAATGTCTCTAATTTCTCATTTTTTATGGCTAAGTAGTACTCCATTTTATAAAAAACCCACATTTTCTTGATCCAGTCTCCAGATGATGGGCATTTGGGCTGTTTCCAAGTTTTAGCTATTACAAACTGCGCTGCTATGAACATGGGTGCACATATATCACCTTGGTATGATTCTTTTAATTCTTTGGGGAAGATCCCCAGCAGTGGAATAGCAGGGTCAAATGGGACTTCCAGTCCTAGTTCTTTGAGGTATCTCCATACTGATTTCCACAGTGCTTGCACCAGTCTACACTCCCATCAGCAGTGGAGCAGGGTTCCTCTTTCCCCACAGCCCCGCCAGCATTTGTTATTGGTTGATTTCATGATAGCAGCCATTCTTTCTGGAGTGAAGTGGAATCTCAGTGTTTTCATTTGCATCTCTCAAATGACCAGTGATGTTGAACATTTTTTCATGTATTTATTTGCTATTTCTACTTCTTTGTGTGAGAAATGTCTGTTCATTTCAGATGCCCATTTTCAGATTGGGTCTTTAAATTTGGGAGGTCTGATCTTTTTAAATTCTTTATAGATTCGAGATAGTAGACCTTTGTCTAAGGAAAAGCAGGTGAAGATTTTTTCCCACATAATGGATTGTCTCTTCACACTGCTGGTGGTTTCTCTTGCTGTGCAGAAGCCTTTTAATAAGAAGAGATCCCATTTGTTGATTGTTTATGCTAGTTCACGGGCAACTGAGGTTTTGTTCATAAAATCTTTTCCTACACCGATGTCTTCAAGGGTTCTACCTAACCTCTGTTCCAACTGGTTCAGAGTTTCTATTTTAATATTTAGATCTTTAATCCATTTTGATTTTAGTTTAGTGCATGGTGAGAGATATAGGTCTAGTTTTAATCTTTGGCAAGTTGAAGCCCAATTTTTCCAGCACCATTTATTAAAGAGGCTATCGGAAAGCTGATTATTGATGTAAATATGACACTCAAGATGAGTCAGGAAGCTTGCAAGTTAGTGTTTCAACTTAGTGCTTCAAAATAAAAATTTTAAAAAGGGTTGGAAATGCAGCTTAGTGTGAAGGTCCTTGGTTCTATACTGGTACTGGGGGGAATAAAGATTCTCACTTGGGACTTGTCACTCACAAAATAGCAACAACCATTACAATAGGTTAATGTTTATTGTTTATTAGATGTTATTATCCTAGGCAAGCCTGGGAGGAAATCAGGATTTTATTAAATGAGGAAATTCAAGGTAATACACATGTGCCCGATGGAAAAATGTTAACAGGCACATGTCTGTCATGTGTTTCTGTGCCTTGGGCTAAGATCTGCTTTCAGAGTTCTGTCAAGGTCAACTTTGAGCCTCTTGGGACATGGCTTATAGGAAGTCAAGATTAATGACCAAGTGTGATGTTCTCAGCTCCCAGTCTGGTGCTTCTCCCCATCTTGCCAGTGAGGTTAAATTTCCAATGACCAAGGTTGCCCTTTGAGTTTATTGTTTACCTAGCAACACATTCTGTCATATATATATAACCAATAGATGAAAAAATTCAGGAGGGAAAAAATGGCTTTGGAGAAGAAGTTATCCTCTCAATCATTATCATTACTTTTTCTTTCTCAGGGCTTAATCAGTATCCCGGCGCCATGTCAGTATGCACACAAGCTGACTTATCTGGTAGCACAGAGCATTCATAAGGAACCAAACTTGGAATTAGCCAATTATCTCTTCTACCTGTGATGACTTGAGCCACTGGCAGCAGGAGATGAAGAATCGAAGTGGTTGCTGTAGTAGACTTTGTCCAAATCTGCCAGAAGATTGAGGCTGTGACTGGGGAAAGGAGATTGAGCTTAGGTCTGACTTGTGGGAAAATAAAAATAAAGATGAAACCCCAATACATCTTAATCTGAAATAGTTTAGAAGATATGTATGTTGTTTTATCTTTTGAAAGTTATATGCTTGGAGTAAATTCTAATTGTGGTATATAGAATCAAAATATACCATCACCTAAAGGAACCCCACAAAGTTAGATGTCTTCTAAGAAAATAAGTGTTTGTGTGATGTGTTTATGGTAGATAAAATGGAGTGTAATCCCCCCGCTGATGTTTTGCAGAAGTTTTAAGTGTTACAGTGTATTTTGTGGAGTGGTTTAAGTATTAGAAATTAAAAAAGTTCAGAGCATCAAAAACATGTTGTGTGCGGTGTTTTTGAGGTACCAGACTGAACCCAGGGCCTTTGCACTGAGCTATGTCTCCAGCCCTGCCCACTTTTGGAGACAGGGTCTCACTAAATTAAGTTATCCAGGTTGGATTTGAACTTGGGATGCTCCTGCCTCAGCCTCCCAGAGTACTCATATTACAAGTACGCAGCACCATCCATGGCTCAAATGTACATTTATTGTGATTTGAATTTTTTGTTTGTTTGTTTTGTTTTGGTACCAAGGATTGAACTCAGGACCTTGCACTTGCAAGGCAGGCAATGGCATCACCACTGAGCTAAATCCCCGGGCTGTGATTTGAAGTTTAAGATGGCATTACATCAGTCTCATTTAAACTACACCAAATTGCCATTAATCTTTGAGTTATGTTTCTGAAACTGCAATTACCAGCTGTTCTGGTGTTGGGATTTTATTTCATTTAATAGCAACCAGTCTCAGTTGCTACTCATAGAGAAGCAGAGTCCACAGGTCCCACCTGAGGGCATCTGTGTCCATAGACAGGCCTGCCCCTGCTGTTGTGTGTATCCCCTGACTGCTTTTGTAAGGCTCTGACCTGTGGAGGAGGCTAGTCTCTCTGTCTCTTTCTTGCACTGTCACATTTCCCCTCATTAATGCCCTACCATTGGCATTGCAAATATGCTCTTTCATTGTTTAAAAAAACCTTTTCTCTCTCCAATTACCACCCCATTTCTTTGCTCTTCTTTACAGAACCTGTCTCAAAAGAATAGTTTCTGCTTGATGTATCTAGTCCCTTACTCTGATTAGAACCTCAACATTTACATCCAAGTTGCTTTAGTTAGGGTCACAGGTGACTTCCACTTTGCTGTATCTGATAGGCAATTCGAAGTCATGATCTTGCTTATCACAGCATTGGAGCCATTCAGTCTTTCCCTCCATCAGAGACACTTTCACTTGATGGATAACATCTTCTCCCACTTTCTCTTCACAGCCTTTATCCCTCTTTCTTCTTTGCTGGCTTTCCCTCCCCTTCTCATCCTTTCCACATTGGAATTCCCCACGATTGAGAATATGGATACATGCAAAAGATTTTTTTTATTTTGTTTTTTTGGTACGTACCGGGGATTGAACTCAGGACCTTATGCTTGCGAACCAGGCATGGTGCCACTGAGCTAAATCCCTGGCCCTCAAAAGATATTTTGATGAAGGAAAGATCAGAGTTCCAAATTCTGTTTGCAGAGAAGTTATGTAAAGCGCTGCAAATGAGGGACAGTGGAGGGAGCAGCAGCCAACCACAAGAGGACAAGAATGCAGACTGCACTGAAGTCATTCTTTTCCTGTTTGTGAGAGTTTTGTCTAGCCCCAGTAGAAATGCATGCAATGTGGGTCCTTCCAGTAATAGTAACAGCATTGTGGGACACAGACAGGGGTAATGGGTTCCAGGCACAGTGCTAAACACTGTTTTTGTGTGTGTGGTACTGGGGATCGAACTCAGGACTTTGTGCTTGTGAGACAGGCGTGGTGCCACTGAGCTAAATCCCCAGCCCTGCCAAACACTGTGTATACATATTTAATATTCACAGCACCTGTGAATTAGGCAATAATGACCATTTTACGGATAAGACAACTAAGGAGTAGATATCAGGAGAAGCACCATTTTATGAGATTAAAAAATTGCAGAGCTGAAGTTTATTCTCCTGTTTATATGACAGCAAAATCTGTGAGATGAACCATGAGGCTCTACAATATTAATAAAAGGTACTCTGAGATTTAAAGTTTTTCTTCCAGACTTTTTTTTTGTGTGTGTGGTACTATGGTTTGAACCCAGGGCCTTTGCACTGAGCTACATCCCCAGCCCTTTTTTAATTTTGAGACAGGGTGTTGTTAAATTGCCCAGACTTGATTTGCTGTCTTCCTGCCTCAGCCTCCCAGAGTACTGGGTTTATAAGTGTACATCACCATGCCTGGCTTCTCCCAGTGTTCTTATTTTATAAGGTAATTCCATATATGATGAAGTTGGCATTATACAGCAAGTCTTTGGAAGTAAGACACTGTACCCATTGGGGGGGGGTTGGGATTTTTTCCTTCAGAGAATAAGGGTGACATAATGTCCCACTACCTAACCAGCCTATTTGTATAAATCTACATGCAGCATTTTGATTAGGCAGTGCAGAGGTTTGTAGTTTCTCATTCTTTACCTATTTACTGGCCAAGGTAACTTACCATTTTGGCCCACCAGAGGGCACATAAAGACTGTCCTACAGGCAGCATCTTTCACCTTTGTGTTGTGTAGCACAACAAATAGTTGAAAAACAGACAACTTCAAGTAAATTCTTGGGATTAAGAAATCTATATTGGAACTCAGGTTCCAATATATTTAGCTTTTATATGTAACAGTAATAAGAGAAGGAGTTGTGACTAGACCATTCATGGTCAACTTTAGAAACAGGAGAACTCACATCAAAACAGATGCGTGGGCCCACTCCCAGAAATAGATTTAGTTAATCTAGGATGAAACCCGATCATCTGAATATTGTTAAAGTTCTCCATGTGGTTCTGATGTTCAGCCAGGGTTGAGGACTAGTGGTCTAAGAAGAGCCATCCCAGCTCTCTTTGCTATGTGATTGTCTCCTATCACCTACATTAATGTTTTTTCTTATTAAAACTGTCAAAGACAAGGGAGAAGGATGTGCTAGGTTTTGGGGGCAGTGCTAGGTTTTGGGGGCAGTGCTGGGTTTGAAACCTAGCACTACCTGTTAGTACCTATGGGACCCTGGGCAATTGAGTTAACCACTCTGAGCCTCAGTGTATTTACTTGGAAAACTTCCTAATAATGTCCACATTGTAGAGTTATTGTAAGGAGTAGAAATGTCAAACCTAAATATCTGGCTTTAATTTAAAAAAGTTCTGTATTATTAGGCCTGATGAGAAGAAAGGAAATGTTGTAATTTAGTCAACAAATATTAATGGGTACATGTTATATGCCAGACTGTGCTAGCTTGGGAATTCTGTAATTCTACTTAAGTAAAGGATTAACTTTTTTTTTTTGTAGATATGATCTACCACTTGCTGTTTTATGGAGAAGATATTTTGGTTTTGCTTTTATTTGGGGGGGGGGTTGAGGAGAAGACTCTGGAAGAAAGTATACTTTACTGTACATTTCTCTGGTTGCATGGTGGGGCACCAGTCAGACCTTCTCTTAAAAGAACCTTTGCAAAGAGGGCAGTTGGCTGTCAGCCTTCAAATGCTACAGCTTTGGTACCCACCATCATGGTGATGTTAAGACCATGCTCTTCTCAGGCTGCTCCTAACCCCTGCCTGAGCTGAGCAGGAGCAACAGATTTGGGCACTTTCTGCCCAGTGTGAGCCTCTGCTACCAGACAGTCTTTGCTAGGGGACTCCTCTAGGACTTGACCAGGGATTACTCAGAGCTGCACTGTAGTTCCAAGTTCTTGTTATCAGTCCTCCTCCTATCCTCTTCTCTCACTGTTAATGATGGACCTTGAGGTTGTAAGGTTGTCCCTATTTAATTCTATTCCCTTTTACCTGCACCCTTCACAGGTGTTTCTCTGAGTGGCCCTCTTGACAGTCTAATTCTGTTATGGTATCTGCTTCTTGGCTGGACCCAAAATGACACAGTTCCTTTCATTATTGTCTCTTTAATTTTTAATAAAAATAAGTCTAAAAACTTTTAGTCTTAAAATCTCCATCAATCAGAACATGAAGTTTAAAAGAACATTATCTTGAGATGTCTTAACTTTTTAAATGCTGGGTTCTGAGTTAGCAATTTCCCATGGGAAAATTTACTCTGAAATCTTCTTAACACACTTCAAGATCTCAGACACAAAATGTAAACTACTCTTGGAAGCTGTTGTCAAATGTCTGAGTTTTGTTGCTGAAATTAACCTGTACTTGGCACTTTCAGTTGACCCAGTGTGCACTGGCCAACCCCATTACCCCTACTGTAAAGAAGATGAAGGGACATACTTCTACCGGGGAGAGACCAAAGAGGGCTGAGTCCAAATATTTCCAATTTATTTAAAAGGGGTTTTTAAACTATTAACTTACTATTATAAAATTAATAGATGTATAGATGTACATCATGGAATATTTGGAAAATATAAAAAATAAAAAAGGTAGAAAACAAACACCAATACAGCTACTATCCAGAAGTATATACAACACTTAGGTATATATTTTTCTTCTACTACTTGAATTGTACCCTATATAGCTTTATATACTTCAATTTTTGTATAAAATTATGGCAGGAGTATATTCCTGTTTTATTATAAAATTTTTATGTTAAGTTTTAATGACTAATATTTTATGGTGCAAATATAACAAATTACTTTTTCTCCTTTTTATCTCTAGGCTGTTCCCAATAATTTTGCTATAAAAATATGGAATAAAATTTTTCTTCCCAAGTATTTGCAATTAGATCCTTGGGCTAGATTCCTAAAAGTGAAATTGCTAAGTCAAAAAGTTATAATATTTTTAAGGTGGTTAGTCTACATTGCTAATTTTTTTCAAAAAATATCCTGTGTTCTGCTCTTTCTGAGGCACCCCAGCAAGCAAGCTTTGCATGTCTCCATTAGAGAAAAGAGCTCTGCTGTATAGTAAATGTTAGTTTCATGTTTTTTATTAGTATTTACTTGATTATTAGCAAACAAAAGTAATTTGAAAATGCTTATAAGCCATTTGTATTTTTTGTTTTTTTCATAAACTTAAAGAAGGCCCTTATATTTTAAAGATAGTAATCTTTTGTCATCTACATGTTCTCAATTTACTATGTACTTTGAAATTTTGTTATTTTTCAAGCTACACACGAAGTTCATATTTTCAAATTATAATTATTTCTTTTAAGATCATGAAAGCCAAGCTGAAATTTAAAACTTAGAAAATGTGTTCCCATCTAGAGATTTATTTCTTATCTTGTTTTAATTTTCTTTAACTTTGAAAATCCATCTGTACTTTAATGTAAAGTAACTATTGTAACTATCTC